AAAGAAGAAAAAAAAGAAGAGTTGGTCTCCGAGTGTGGGGGAATCTAGCTGGACCCATTTAACTCCGCAATCACTGTATGCTTCAATGCTGGAAATAATATTAGTGTTAAAATTAAGTTTAATAATATTAATATTAATTTAATTACGAACATGCATTAGAAAGAGTGATTGAACCTCAGACCTTATGGTTAACAGCCACTCTGTCTAACCAATTAAGCTATTCTAGCTATATAATAATTAAAATGATAAAGTTAATATAAATGAATAAAACTAAAGTATTCTAAAATATACTAATTACATTTATAAATCATAATTTTTCAACCAATAGGATATATATGTATTAATATAATTTACCTTTAATTTTATCACTAAAAGTAAATAAATATTTAATTTACATCTAAACAACCATACAATATTTTAGCCATATACATAAGCATGATAAAACAAACTAGAAGTAAACCTTAGCCTAGCTTCCTAACTATAAAGCATTTTAACTTTAAATTCCTATATCATAAAATATTTATAAAACATTTGTGGTTTGTATCATTCTCTTTTCTTTCATAAATTAGTCATAAATAATAACTTTAACAAGCTAAATAAACTTAATATAAAGTGAGTCTAAAGCAATATGGCCATGGAAAAAAAAATGTGCATATGGCAACACTAATATTATGACAAATGGCCACAAATGAAAGAAAATAATATAGCTTTCTTGCATGATAATAGGTATGAAAAAAAAAATGAGAATAGAGTAACAAAAATTTAAATCATAAAGCAATATGGCTAATTTTCTCCTTCCTTAAGAATGTTATCTAAATTATAATTAAAACATGGAAACATTTTCTTCATGTTGATCCTCAAATTTTTATGTAATTTTTTCTATAGAATAACCATTCTATTGAACCAAAAACTTTTTAATTTTTTTGAAGTGTGACTTTTGACCTCAAATATTAACTAAACCAACTTTCTCAACATTAACCTTTAGAACTTGGATGATAGATTGATTCATGATATCAATAAAGTGTTAATACATTTTAATTTTACTCACATAAAAAGTTAAATAAATCTTTAAAATAAGTAGCAAATCCAAAGTGTATTTCTATAAATATTCCTGAGTTTATATCATAAAAGTTCAAGTATCATGCAACAAATTAAGATGGCTTTTGCATATCTCAATGCATTTAAAGTATATTTCAAGGATCTGTTGTTTGCAATATGAAACAACTTCTTAATCATTACAGCGTAAAAAGTGCTTTAATAAAAGTGATGTTATTGAGCTAAAAACCTTCTATCACAAATGTGATTTAAAAATATTTATTGGTCAATTCTTTTAGACATTTTCCTTTTATTATCATAACAGTAAGAGATTAATAATTAGTCCCCTTTATTAGCCCTTCTTGTGCTAGTGGAGTTAATTAGATATTTCAAGTGGATATACATTGGGCAAGTATAAAGCATATAAACACCCTTAGCTTAGTAAGGAGTTTTTATCTTGTTATGTTTTGCATTAACTAATGACAAAAACTATCACATATTAAACATAGTCTTTTAATATCATTACATGATAGATTATTGTACCATCAAACACCCTCATTATCATGCTAGTGACTCCTAATTCACAATCTAAAACCATTCTATATTTGATACAAAGATTAAGTGAAATCCCAAAACAAGCTTTTATATAAAGGTTGTAAAGGGTCCAAATGTATAACAAAGATAATGGTCAGAAGCATGGCCAATCACTTAAGATATTAGTCTGGCTCTTGTCAAGTTGTCTCTTTGTTTTGTAATTAGCTTATAGATATCCACCTCTTTACATTAGACCACCAATATGTTAAAATTTTGTTTGACATTGTTTTGCATAGAAAAGCTAGATTTAATGAGTTATTGAGTGCATTTTAAACCCTCATTTCATATCATAATAGGCTTTAAATTCAACTCCAAATTCAAGTGCACTACACTTTCCCAATACTTCAAAACTAGTAAAAGATATATTTATTAAGATTAAACAGTTAGAATTTATTGTTTAGCTTAGTAAAAGCAATTGTTGACAAAGAATATTTTAAATTTGTATGATTAGTATAAGCTCCCTCCAGAGCGTTGGTCTTATGACTCGAAGGTCATGAGTTCGAATCTCACTAGGAGCACCTCTTCGGAGATACAAGCTTTCACAGCTTGATCGTTTTGTTGCAAGGCATTACACCGATGGGCGAGATGTGGTCTCCTACAGCACTAACACTTCTGCAAGCTGGAGTGTCTTCCCCAGCAACCTCAGACTTTGATAGGCTGATCACCACATCTGACTACGATCAGGTTGGCCTTGGTAGCAACCGGGTTAACGGGTTCTCTTGGATCGTCCAGCTGCCGCAGTTGCCTTGTCGCCACCAAGAATTTGATCCGCCCAGAACAAAGCCTATGAAAACTTTAGAATAGCGCCTGGGTGAAAAGCTGGACAGTGAATTATAAGTGTGTTATGTAAAAGGTGAATGCCATGAATTTCCTAAGGTCCCATTTCCCTCGTTGTTCCAGTCTAGAGTAAGAGAGGGTGATTTCGGTCTGAAAATCTTCCAAGTGCCTCTATCCAGAGAATGCTGCGTGTCTTATTGTAAGATCATGGCACCCTTCTATATTTTTCCCCGAAGATTTGGAGGCGCTGTGCTTCGGAATTGCTCAGGTAGCACTCTTTTACAAAATGTCTGCTACAACGAGGTCTCCATGCCCAAGCTATTTCTTAACCTTTTTCTGATGTCCAAAGCACTTGGTGCTTCTCAGTTTGTTGTGTAAAGAGTTGAAGGAATTCTAAGCTCCATTCACCTCGTCTTACGGCAGGCAGCGTTGCTGGTGGTTAATATAATATTATTAATCAAATATATTTAATCTTAATATTCCCGTCATTATTCAGGAAAACCATCAGCTGAACTCTTCCACATATATTATCGCATGCAAAATGTCAAGGCTGCCGGCTCCAGCACTTTGAAATGTTCGTCGTCAACGAAAATAATCCTATAGTAGGCCATGTACTAATCCGTGTACGATGGACTTATCTTTCGCTAAAAGCATGCATCCCGAAGACTTGCCCCCTTAAATAGCGATGGCTTTGTGCTGAAATGGCATCCCTCCTCGCCAAGTATTTCCTACACTACAATGGCCAAGAAGTTGTTTCTCCTTGCAATTGTCATTCCCTTGTTTGCAAGCCTGGTTGCAGGGAGATGCACCGATCAGCGAGATGTGGTCATCAGAAACCTTCGCACTTATGCAAGAGGGAGTGTCTACGGCAGCAACCTCAACCTTCTGTTTGACAGGCTGATCACCACAACAGGCTACGATCATGTTGGCTCTGGCAGCAACCGAGTTTACGGGTTCTCCGAGTGCTATGGATCGCCCAACTGCCGCAGTTGCCTTTTGGCCGCCGTGAATTCGATCCGATCTGCAGCTCCCAGAGCAATAGGCGCTCGGATCTGCAAAGCTTTGTGCTACCTTCGTTACGAAAACTATAGAATCTGAACGGAGTGAAAAGCTAAATAAGAGGAGATGATGGCTTTAGCAAAAATATTATAAGTGTGTTATGTAAGGTGTTCGAAGTGAGAATTTCTTAGGATCCTATTTCTCTCATTGTATTTTTCATGCTCCAGTCAAGAATAAGAGAGATAAACTAAGCTTCTAGCGGAATACCATCAACACACTTGGGCAGGGAACAAGATTTCGAATATGTCCGCCTGAGTAACAGCAGTTCGCGGCCTAGAAACATTTTGAGAATTTTCTAGGATCCTATTTCTCTGGAAGAGCTTGATCAGCGCTTGCAAAGTTCATGGTAGCGGCAAGAACATTTTTTCATGCTCCAGTCAAGAGTAAGAGAGATAAACTAAAGCTTCTAGCGAGATACCATCAACACACTTGGGCAAGGAACAAGATTTCGAATATGTCCGCCTCGGTAACAGAGTCTGGAGACAGAGTTCGCGGCCTACCACGCCCCAGAAACATTTTGAGAACATATAATTGCTGAAGACATTTTGAAAGTTTAGGGTTTTGACAAAGCCCAGCCCTGGTGAGTGGAGTATGATTTCGGTGTGGAAATCTCAACTTCTATCCAGAGCATGCTGCGTGTCTCATTGTCCTTGCTCCAGCGTTGCCAAGAGGCTCATTTGGAAGAAACTTTAAGATCTTGGCATCCTTCTTCGTTTATATTTTTCCCCGAAGATTTGTGGTTTTCGTACACCTGGGGGCGCTGTGCTTCGCACACGCTACGGGAATAATTTGTCTCCAGGTAAATGCTACTATAACGACTAACAAACGTTTGTTTTGCATGTTCCTGCGCAAGCACTCACTTACAAAATGTCTGCTACAACGAGGTAAAATATGCCCAGGCTATGTCTTGATGTCCAAAACATTTGGTGCTTCTCAGTTTGTCTCTACTCGAGTTTTTATGTATTGTCTGGCCTCTTTCTATTTGCACCAGCAACACGAGCTTCGTTTTGTTTGTCATTTCTCCAATCAATTTCTCACTATACGATCTGCAGAACTATGAGCGGTTACATTCATTGCATCGGTCGAACTGGTCGAGCTGGGAATGCTGAGGTAGCTATTTCTTTTGTAAGTCGCTCTCGTGCAGCTTCTCAATTGTCAGGAATTTTCAACCTCAAGAGTCTTCGAGCTGGAGATTAGTTTGGCACTGGCCTGAAGTTTACGCGAGGCGTAACGACTTGACAGAAGCTCGGGCGAAGAACTCTGAAAGATGGGAACGTATGTCTTTTTCGCTGCGCAGCTACTTGCGCAGCAAGCTTCAGCCTTTTCAGGTCCTCTGGTAGCGGGACAAGTGACGAAATCTCCCAATGCTCGGATTTATACAAGAAGTAAAGTCGATTGGCGTAAGCGCTCTGTTCGGGATTCGTTGTTTTGAGCGTTGACTCGGTGATATTTCTTGCAGAAAAAATGGAAAAAAAAAAAAAAAAACAGAATGCGTGGTGGGAAATCTGATCGGGCACAACTACCAGGCAGGTAGTCATAAGAATGCACATTCGTCGAAGAGAACACATCAGCAGCAGAAACTGTGAATGCGGTAAGTGCTCTCTTTCGGACTGGCTCACGTGAAACTATGCAGACTCGTTATTGGCACTGAATAAAAGGCTACGATATATATGCGCAGGAAAAAGTATTCTCGCGCAAGGAAGGCTATAATTCTTCAAGTGTCTACGAGCACTCGTTCTTCGTACTCACAGGGTTGAAGTGCATTTTCCTGTCAAGCAAAAGCGCGAGTCAGGTCAGCCATTTACAAGTGAAGGACAAAAGGGACTTACTTCCGAGTATCTTAGGTGACCGGGTCTCAGCTTGCGTGATTTGACGGTGGCTTCCCATTTCGCGTTCTTCTGCTCGACCGAAGGAGACTGCGGAAGAGCTTTCCAGAGCCAGGAATGAGAAGGCGATTTCGGTGGCAGCAGCGGCGACGTTCCACCCGTCGGGGAGTTTGATCCGTTGTTTCTGGCCGGGGACTGTAGTGGCAACTCAAGCGTCGCCGGTCTGTCGAAGCCGGAGTGCGTTGAAGGTGGCCGACTCCAGTGAACTTCTTTCTTCCTGGCCGGACTGGTTTCGCCATTCGCTACGGCGGCTTTGGAAGTCTCCTGATGGTTAAGCAACCATCCTGGACTTGGCGAAGTGGCAGCGTTTTTATCAGCGGTCACCAGCAGGTTGGTTTCCAGCCGCTTCGCGAGAGTAGCAGGCACGACGAGCTCCGTAACTCTCCGCTGGTTGGAGTTCCTGTCGACGACCCATGGAGAGAAGCCATCGTTCCTATACGGGTCCTCGGGAGGCTTGTAGTTCTCCGGCAGTCCCAGGAAGCCTTTGGCCTCGTGCAGCGGCGACACGGAGCCTCTATAGTACGAAGAGTTCTCGGGCTTTTGCGGACTCACCGGGGGCTTGTTGCCAAAGGTGCTGTCGCAGTCGTAGAAGGTTTCGTGGCTCTTCGGCGGCAGCTTTCGTGGGGAATCCAGCTTGGTCGCTGCTGCTTTACGAGGCTGGTGCTTTTGTTTCGGACGGGGGCACTTTCTATCATCTTCCGTTTCGGTCTCGGAGGCCTCGCTCTGTGGACAACAACCGAATCAGTTCGCTCAAAAAGATGGCAGGAGTGGCGACAGAAAACAAGTATTTTACCTCGTGACGTATGGTCAGGCCGCCGTTCACCTTCTTCACAAAGATGCTCGTGTGGAAGTCGTCCGTGGCGAACCGGTTACGGGCCCTGTCGCTGCAGCGTCTCAGTCTGGACGACGGATACTGGGGACGGAGGTGCCGGAGCGCGAACGAGAAGAAGCCGCAAGCTTTCAGCGCGAAGAAGTCGTCATGCTCGGTGGTGGTGGTGGTGGTGACGGCGGCGGCGGCGGCGGCCTTGTCGGAGCTGCGAGGGATGCTACTGGCGAACTTGTACTGATACGTTTGGATCCTCTCCACACTCGCCGCGACTTGGTTCCGGGGGCTGCTGGTACTGTGAGGACTACTCAACTTGGCCAAGTTGGCCTGCTGGGAATTGTTACCGCGCGGCTTGGGAGAGAAGGAGGAAACCAGCGGCGAGGCGAAGGGCGTGGACGAGGCGGACTCGTCGGCCATGGCCTTGGCAGCAGGCAGGAACCTGCGGAGTATGAAATCCCGAGCCGCCGGGTCGTCGCTCGAGAGATTGGTGGGCGACTTGCGATACGCTGGTGGATCTAGCGTCAAGCTTTCACTTTGCCGAGCGTCGGAGGACAATGCATCGTCTACCTGAACTAGCTGCTCGTCCGACTCACAGGTGGAAGACGGGACGCCTTTGCTCTTGAAGAGATCCCCAAGCTGCTGCCTTTGCTTGCCGCGAGGCGGCGAATCCTTGCGCAAATCCGGTGGTGGTGGTGGCGACTTTTTCCTCTGCCTCGACTGCCGCAGCGGCTGAGCTTTCACATCGGCTACAGAGTGTTTCCTCTGCTGCTCCTGTTGGTGGTGGTGGTGGTGGTGGTGGTGGTGGCGGTGGTGGCGATATGAATCCGTGGTGGCGGGACGAGCAGGGGTCCAGGTGATGGCTGTTCTTCCCGGGGGCAGTGAAGGCGAGGAGCATGAGTTTCGAGCAGCGGCAGCAAAGTCGGTGTTGGCAGCGGGAGGCTCGAACTTAGGCCGTCCGGGCGTCCTCTCCCACACAAACGGCACCGCGCCAGGACTCCTCAGCGATCCCCAGCAAGCGCCCTCGTCCTCGTCGTCCTCTTTACTCACCTGGGGGCTGTCGCAGAATTCACTCCTTCGGTTCATCAATCCCCACCTTTGCTGCTGCTGCTGGAGGAGCTGATGCTGGTGGTGAGATTGCTGCTGCTGCTGCTGGATTTGCTCGTCGTCTGACGATGATGCCTCCAGGTGGTGCCTCCGGATCGACATGAGGGGTGCATTTAGATCCAACTTCTTCTCCCGGAGGAACTCCTGGGATTGCTGCTGCTGCTGCTGTAGGAGCTGCTGCTGGATAATGCTCGAGAACACCATCGCTGGAGTCTAGCTTCTACCAGGTAAGCAAATCTTTTCTTTTCTCCTTTTTTATTTTCTCCTTCGCTACCTCATAGTCGTCAACGATTTCCTTCTTTTCCCCGATCCAGGAACAGCTACATTGATCCAAATCTCCATCGCTGGCTCTCGCAATGCCGAAACTCTGGATCGATCAAGCGAAACACAGAAAAGAATAAGAAGAGAGGTAAGTATTTCTATCCTCGTGGAGGTTTAATATATGTTTTCCTCCCAGCCAAACGAAGAAACACCAAGAGTGTGATCGCGAGGCGTAGCTCAACAAGGAACTACCACCGATTCCCATAGAACCTGCATTGCCCCCCCATCCCATCGCGCTTACAACACACAGATAAAATAGAAGAAGCGAACACCACAAGAACGAGAAAACTGGAAGAACGAAAAAAAAACAGAGAGTAAAAGCCGTCGGATATTCTGTCTGATCCAGACACGTGACGGGGATATTCTGGTCCGTCAACTTTGGCTGGCCCATGCAGGGAAATTCCTATGTGTGTAAAGGACCATGGGATTAAACATAGAAGACTGGACCAACCAAGTCGAGACACGGCATGCAAGGCCAGAGTGTCTTACATGTGTAAGAGGGAACCAAGAAGCCCTGTCATGGGCATTTGCAGTAATTATTTTTTGCTGAGGTAGGTTATTTTTCTCGTTTTCCCCTTTGTACGGAAATTGAGAGTGGCTTTCGTAGATCTCCGTCCATTTTCCTGCTGATTGGGATTTTCTTGATTTTGCTTTTGGGATTGCGATCGCTTACCAACCGTCCGTTCTTTGATTTTTTACCGACTGTTGAAAGCGCGAGCGGCGAGGCTCGCTCGCGTTACTCATCACGTACTGGATTTTGAGCTACCCGGGGGTGAATCTTAATGATCTTTTCTAGAATCTCACGTCGAGGCAAACGTAATTGGCGATTTAGATGTTAGCATACCACTGATGCATGGATGAAATTGTTTTCTTATGGTTTTATTTTCTGTTGGAGAGTGTTTGGTGAAAAATAGCACCGGACCCACGTGAGAAATCACAAAACAAAGACCACCCAGTCGACCAGCGATCCATCAGTTAGGTTTGCAATTGAGGAGAAACTGGAAGGATTGGGATTGCTTGCACCCCAAAACCAATCGCGATCTGGGCCCTCTAGATTCGATCAATCGATTGATTTGCCCACACTTCCTTGCTAATGCCGAGGGTGATGTCTCATGGCTTTGACGCCAAGCAACTTAAACATGTCAAGTCAATGCACAGTAGTCAGCGCCACCGCAAAGACCAAACACTAAAGTCAACGTCACATTTAGAAGTCAAAGCCCATGTTCCACCGTGACGTTTACATTTTCCGTCGGTCAACTTTCCTAGTCCATGCTTCGGTCAACTAAAGCTGCTTCAGTTAACATTTTCACCATAGTCAACGCCGAGGAATTTGTAGAAGCGCAGCCATTTCTCCTCTTCTTCCTTGCTGCGCACTGCGTGGGCCGTGCCGCCTCGGCATCGCCCAGCGCCTTGCGGGCCTCGCCCAGCTTCCTCGTCACGGCCTCGAACACCGATTTCTCCTTGCGGTTCCTGCGCGCCATCTCCTCGAGCTTGGCCACCTTGCTCGCCAGCTCCTTGATCTCGTCCTGCTGCCTCACCAGCGAGCGCCGATCCTCCTTCGACTTCCCGGTCGCCGCCACCGCTGGTTTCTTCTCCTTTGCGGACGAATCCATCCGGGACGAGGACGAGAGCTGGACGTTGATGAAGCTGAACACCTCTGCTTCCTCCAGTGCTTTGCTCGCGCGTCTCGCCTCGGCGAATTTCCTGTCCCGCTTTCTCTTGCCGCCGCGGGATTTCTTCTTTGCCGACAGCTTGTGTGGAGTGGACTCGCTCACGAAGTCGAGGGATGTCTTCTCGGACCTGGAGAAGTGTGACGAGCCCCTGGCCGCTAGTCCCAAGGCCAGAGCCTTGCTTGTATCGCATCTTGGCCATGAGCCTGGAAGCCACTCCTCCGGTATGCTTCTCCTAGTTGGCGAACACTGTCTCGGTTTGCTGGTCTCCTGAGAAAGTCCCGATTCCTGGCAAGATTTCTTCGTCGTCGCTTGACTCGTCACTGCTGCTGCTGCTGCTAGTGCTTCTAGAATCTGTCACCGCTGCATACTCGCTGAGAGCTAGAGTTTCTTTTTCGACGATCGCTTTGCTGCCATCGTCGCTGAAAACCACATTCACCACTTGGAGCTGATCCACCAGCTTCTCGACTTCGGCATCACCCCAAAGACGTGTTCCATCGTCGGTGGAGCTGCAAGCCAGGACTGTAGAGCCGATCTCTATCTCTTGCCATCTTACGCCTGGAACCTGTAAAATGGAAAGTTCTCTCTCATTTTTTTACCATGGGAGGAACGACAGCTTTAGCCATATCGGCTGCGCCGCTGGAAGAAGAAGCTGCAAATCTGCACACTCGGCCGGATGTCGTTAGTTTTTCAATCTCAAAAACCACTAAAACAATTCCATCAGTGTGTCGCAAGCGGCGTAACAACAAAGTGCTGCTCTCGTTGTTGTTGTTGTTGTTGTTCGTCTTTATCGCGAGTGAGTAATTCTTTCGACGAATCGAACTGGAGAAGCAGGCGGCGACGCTTGAGAGACAGCAAGCTTTCCTCGAGCTCCTTGACCCTCGTTGACAGATCCTCTCGCAACTACATTAAGAAAAATACTACAAAGATATACTTACCTCCTAATTCCCAGGTTGGTGGAGCACTGTGGGAGCGACATTCTTACAAGCCGCGACACGAGACGATCCGCGGGAGAGGCTTCGCAACACCGATGACACGATATCGGCCCCATGGCAGATTGGAGTGCAGCCGATCGAATTGTCCCGCAGTCTCCTCGGGTGTTCGGGCCGCCGCCTCCCCGCGTGCTCCAGCTGAAGTTCTTGCCAGCGTCGCAAGCTCCATTCTTAAGCTCCGATCAGAAGAGGCGAGGCGTTCTCGTGGGAGTGTACGAACGCTAAATTCAAAATAAAACCTCTTTATGGGATTTGGATAAATTTGCCGATTTTTTCATGGACCATATTGATCACCTAAACTATAATATTTTTAGACTATACCAGTGCCAGAATATTCTGCGATGACGCGGGTATGGGGGAAAACGGATCCCTTCGCCTTCCCGGCGAGCGAGTTTCAGTTCGGTTTGTTGCGAGCCGTGGAGCCGTTCTTACGAGTCCACCGCACAACGGCTGCCTCCCAGCTTGGCCCGAACGATAAGTTCAAGGGCGGGCAAATGAACAGGGATGCGCTTGACACATGCCTGCAAGTGATAACTCCTTCCATGGTGGATTATGAGAGGTATGCTCCTTTCTTTTGTCACGAGTGTTGCTAAGCTGGTATGGTTTTGCTGAGAGAAACGTACAATCCAGGTCCCCCTGCAAAAGGGTTCTAGCACGGGGCTGGATTGTACCTTCTCAAAGCAAAACCTTGCTTTCTCTACACAGGAGTTTTAAAGAACCTCGCACGGAGCTCAACGTACGACCGAGGCATCTGGAACTTATCCGCCAAGTGGAGAAGTTCACAAGGCCCACAGAAGTGGCATTGTATGAAGATGACGCAGCAATGGCCGAGGAAGTTGGCGATGAAGATGAACTTGGTCAGAAGGGCTTCACTATCACGCTGGCGGGTGGAGACAAGGACGACAAGCTGGTCGCCGAAGTTTACAGAGGCAAAGAAGTTGAGGAAGCTCCTGGTCATGAATCTCCTGGCAGCTCGTCCGACGATGACGAGGGGCTCCACATGGATACGGAAGCTGCTCCAGAGGACGTCCCGGACAAGGATAGGACCGATGCTAGAGTTTTTGTTTTCAACGAAGGGCCACGCAACCGCGCGGATGAGCTGGAGAAACCTTACTTGTCAGCACAACGTTGTACGCTGGTCAGTGAATTCAACGACGACGAGGATTGGAACGCAATCGCTCAAGCTGCAGCATATGCACGAGTAGAAGCACGGCGGAACTTGTCAAGCCGGCACTACAAGCCACGTAAGCGATCTTTGTTAGCAAATCTCTCTGGAAGCGCCTCGTTCTTGCAGTGTATCTCCTGGTGTTCTCAAAGACGAAATTCACATATGCAATCCTGAAACCGGAGGGGTACATCTTAACAGGAGGAAACAAAGTCACTGATGCTGCATACGCAGGTACGCAGCAGTATCTGATATCATGAAACGAACCACCTCTTTCAGATTTTGTCAACATTACAAAGCCAGGGAGCACCCCTTGGCCCAAGAAAACGATGGACAGCATGCTTGAGGTTGGCACCTCATACCTCCGAAGGAACTACAGTGACAAGAGCAATCCGAAATACCCCAAGCGTCCTTATGTTGTTGGCGACTTGTTGGTTGCTCCACAGGTGATTTTCCTTCGGTTGGTTTTGTGCTTGACTGGTAATGGTAATTGCAATGTGTGCAGTGGTATACGCTCCCGAGCACTGAGGTCATGGGTGGCTTCTTCTCGCCAGACGCCAAGAAGTTCTACGAGGGACTGCTGCGTATCGCAGTGGGCGACAGGGTGCTCAAATTCACTCCATACCATGTAATGGCGGCTCTGGGTGTGAGGATGGCCATGAGTACCAAGACGAGCGCTTTCCTGGGGGCCGACTTTTCGAAGGGCTTAGCGGCTACGCAAGGGGCCCGAGCGTTTGAAATTGCTGCCTTTGGTGGGTTTCGTGTGAAGCTCCTGCGAGAGACTGTGGAAGATGGTGACACTAAGAGGCAGCGTGTCATGTAAATTATACAAAATCTAGAGTATCACTGCTTAACTAATACCAATCAAATATCTTCTCCCCAACCAAGAAAACGAGTCCGTCAGACGAGGCAAACAACGTCATCTTTGTACTAACTTCGCAGATTTCCTCAATATTTTATGCCACCAGAGGCCAAACGCTTGGTTTCACCTTTGCCAGTCTTCAATTCAATCACCAAAGAAGCTAGCGACATCATGAGAAAATCTTCCGAGTTGATGCCAGAGCCCATGATATCCGGCACTTAGGGGGGCCCGGGAACCATTCACAAAAGGAACATCCAGTCCATAAACATGGTTTGTTTAATATATATGAAGTTCACATATCCCGTTACAATCTACTTTTGTCTCGAGATTACCAATGATCTCTATGTTCCTGGCTCGCCATCTTTTGTCCATTTCTAAAGATTATCGGGTATAGTTGTTCAGTCAAATGAAAGTGCTGGTTCGGAAGATTCGAACGGTTTTCTTCAAGGAAATGATGCCTGAATATTCAGCCTCCTCTACGCTGGGAATCTCCAGCTCCAGATACTTATTGAATTTTAATTTAACTATGTATCCTAGCAGACTAGGGGAAAAGTCGCCACTTCCTGAGGGACCGCCACCAGGGATTCTACCACCGCTAGCAGATTTCTCTCAATGTGTAGAGCACAATGCGTCAGAATCTCCAGGTATTTCAAATTCAGAGACTAATACCATAAGTTTTACAGAAGAAGAAGCAAGCAATGATCTAGAACCAACAGTCCAGGATAAGATCACGCATGAACATTCGAAGACTATCCCTGCTATGTAAAACGGGCTGGCTGCATAGGAAGAATTGCAAGAGCCCGAATAGTACATGGAAACCAACGAGAGACATTTTACAGTATCATGCTCACGCCGCTCAGGTGAGCCACTAACTTTACAGGAGATCAAAGAGCTTTCACTTGAAGGCAGCCATGTAGAGTATGCTCAATTTGAAAATGATTCCTGGAGGCTCGTTCCTCACAAGTCTGTACTGGCAAGGGCCTTGATCGTACCCCAAAGGCTGTACTCAATGAGGAGGAGTCAACTACAACGAAATATTTTCACCAGTTGCGAAGATGGTTTCAGTTCGTTATTTTCTTGTGATAGCCAATCATTTAGACTTAGATGTGGACGTTAAGAATGCCTTCCTCAACTGAAAGCTTGATTAACAACTCTATATGCAACAGGCCCCAACATTTAAGAGATCAAAGGAAAGAACAATACATTTGCATTCTATTTATTGATTAAAGCAGATCTAGTACAATACTTTGAATAAGTTTTTTTCTACACTTTGGTTTTTCTTGAATTGAGGCTGACTGGAATCTCTATTACTACGTCCATGACTCCTCAATCATCCTGGCGTGTGTCCAAGTTGATGACTTGATCATAGTTCACTTTTTTTGCAGTCCTATAAACTTTCCAGGAAGAATGCACCATTTATCAGAATGTGGTAGGAGTACTGATTGACTTGACAACTGCGAGCAGGCTAGATCTCAACAGCAGTTTCACGTGTATCCAGTCCATGTAAAATCTAGGAAACAGACACGTCCAGGAATATTTGCCGGCACAATAGCATCTAGAATATCTGACAGAATATTCTTACTTGGTCCATCTGAAATATTCTAACGAATCTCAACATCAAGATTTATGGAAGTTACCATGAAAGATTCAATATGGAAATGAATAACTATGAGAAAAAAATGGGAAACAACCTGCAGTCTAGAGAAAAAAATGTTGTGGTTGAATGTTATAGACTTTGTAGCTTTTGATATGGTCATGATAGGCCACAAAAACAATGTTTTTGTCAGAAGGATCAAGTTTGGTACAAGTTGGTGATAAAAGGTGCACAATGAAGACTCTTAAGTGAGAAAGTGATAAATGCATTGTAGACCAAAGAATGGCATTTGAAGAAAGAAAACAAGTGAATACTTGATTAAAAAGATAATTGGCAGTGGATGCAGCTTTGCCCCAAAAGATTGATGGCATAGAGGCTTCTGAATCATATTAAGAAGAGTGTGATTTTGATATTCTGAAATGCCATTTTGCTACGCAAAGTAGGCTACAAGAATATCATGTCAGAGGCAAACATAATTGTATCATTCAAGGATTAAATTGTATTCTTATGGTTTCTGGAGGATTGGGATTAAAACCATTTGCAATCTCAAGCGCAAAACATGTCAATTCAGTAGTCACCGCCACCTGCAAAGATCGAACTTAACAGTCAGCTTTTCAGTCAACATTTTGACCATGGTCAACGCCAAGCATTTTCTCTTCAGAACCGCAGCCATTTCTTCTCTTCTTCCTTGCTGCGCACTGCGTGGGCCGTGGACTGGAGCGCTGCCTCGGCATCGCCCAGCGCCTTGCGGGCCTCGCCCAGCTTCCTCGTCACGGCCTCGAACACCGATTTCTCCTTGCGGTTCCTGCGCGCCATCTCCTCGAGCTTGGCCACCTTGCTCGCCAGCTCCTTGATCTCGTCCTGCTGCCTCACCAGCGAGCGCCGATCCTCCTTCGACTTCCCGGTCGCCGCCACCGCTGGTTTCTTCTCTTTTGCGGACGAATCCATCCGGGACGAGGACGAGAGCTGGACGTTGATGAAGCTGAACACGTCGGGAGCTTCCTCTGCTTCCTCCAGTGCTTTGCTCGCGCGTCTCGCCTCGGCAAATTTTCTGTCCCGCTTCCTCTTGCCGCCGCGGGACTTCTTCTTTGCCGACGGCTTGGGTGGAGTGGACTCGCTCACGTAGTCGAGGGATGTCTTTGGTGGCAGGACTCGGACCTGGAGAGGTGTGACGAGCCCCTGGCCGCTCGTCCCAAGGCCAGAGCCTTGCTTGTATCCCATCTTGGCCATGAGCTTGGAAGCAACTCCTCTGGTATGCTTCTCCCAGTTGGCGAACAACACTGTCTCGGTTTGCTGGTATCCTGAGAAAGTCCCGATTCCTGGCAAGATTTCTTCGTCGTCACTTGACTCGTCACTGCTGCTGCTGCTAGTGCTGCTCGGATCTGTCACCGCTGCGTGCTCGCTGAGAGCTAGATTTTCTTTTCCGACGATCGCTTTGCTGCCATCGTCGCTGAAAACCACATTCACCACTTGGAGCTGATCCACCAGCTTTTCGACTTCGGCATCTCGCCAAAGTCCTGTTCCATCGGTGGAGCTGCAAGCCAGGACTGTAGAGCCGATCTCTATCTCTTGCCATCTTACGTCTGGAAGATCTTTCAGCGACGAGAGCTGTACGAGGAAACCTGTTGAATGTGTCATATCCAAGCTTTGAAGTTTCATAGAAGAAAATGTTCTCTCTCATTTTTTTTACCATGCGACGAACGACAGCTTTCGCCATATCGGCAACGCTGCTGGAGGAAGAATCTGCAAATCTGCACACTCGGCCGGATGTCGTTAGTTCCTTAATCTCAAAAACGGCACCCATGGGGAAAAACAACGAAAGAGATGGAGTACAACCTGCATTTTCTCATTTGTTGGCGTCAGAAAGGAAACACGAGCGTTTGTGCCATCTTGGCACAAATCGAGAACTCTTCCATTATACCATCTTCCATCGGTGTGTCGAAAGCGGCATTTTGATCCAGCAACAAAGTGCTGCTCTCGTTGGCGTTGTTGTTGTTGTTCTTCGTCTTTATCGCAAGCGAGTAAATCTTTCGACGAATCGATCTGGAGAAGCAGGCGGCGACGCTTGAGAGAAAGCAAGCTTTCCTCGACCTCCTTGACAGCAGCCACAAGATCCTCTCGCAGCTACAGCATTAAATAGAAAATTACTTCACTAACTCTTTTCATCGCTCGCAAAGAAGATAGGGTCGTGCTTACTTACCGATTGGAGCTCCTGATTCCCAGGCTCGCGGAGCAGCGCCTCCTCCAGCGCCGGCAAGGACTCGTTGTGCTCGATCAGCTGCTCCTCCAGCTCGCGCTCCAGCAAGGCGCTCTCCTCTTCCTCCTCTACACCCATTTCTAAAATCTAGGGTTCTTCGTTAGGGCTCTTCGTTCTCAGGATTTAGGGTTTATCTCAGCGCCCGCGCTAGCTCGCTCGCTCGCTCGCCGATCGGTCGTGCGCCATGGACGACAGCTTGTACGACGAGTTCGGCAACTACATCGGCCCGGACATCGAGTCGGAGGAGGAGGGATCCGAGGCGGAGGAGGAAGCGATTCCAGCGGCCAGCGGCAGCGCAGGTAGAGAGAATGCAGCGTGGCTCACACAGGGAGGCGGGGACGATCTTGACGGCCCCGAGGACATGGACACCGAGGGTGGGATCGTTCTTGCCGAGGACAAGAAATATTACCCGACGGCGGTGGAGGTCTATGGCGAAGGGGTGGAGACGCTGGTCATGGACGAGGACGCGCAGCCGCTGGAGGAGCCCATCATCAAGCCGGTGAGAGCCAAGAAATTCGAGGTAGCATCCAGAGAAGGTGTGAGGACTTTCGTCTCCACGGAGTTTATGCTCGGGCTCATGAGCAATCCGGGGCTGGTTAGAAATGTGGCTCTGGTGGGAAATCTCCAGCACGGGAAGACGCTCCTCATGGACATGCTCGTGGAGCAAACTCACGACATGAAGACGCTGGATCCAAACTCGGAGAAGCACTTGCGCTACACGGATACTCGGATCGACGAGCAGGAGAGGCAAATCTCTATCAAGGCCATGCCGATGTCGCTGGTGCTCGAGGATAGCTGTGGGAAATCCTACCTTTGCAACATCATGGACACTCCAGGTCACGTAAACTTTTCGGACGAGATGACCGCTGCTCTACGCCTGGCTGATGGAGCGGTCGTCGTTGTGGATGCCGTGGAGGGTGTCATGGTACGTTCCTTTCTCTTTTCTTCAGAGTCTTAGATCTTCTCCATCGTTTCTTCTTCTGTGATTTTCAACTTTCTTGTGTCGTCTTGTACTCTTTTTTGTTTTTGACGAACTTGTAAGTAGCACATTATTTTCTTCTCTTTGCTTTTGTATTGATTTTGTTTTCTTCGTTTTTATCCTGCAGGTAAATACCGAGAGGTCCATTCGCCATGCAATCCAAGAGCGACTGCCTATCGTCGTAGTGATCAACAAGGTAAATCAACTCTTGGCTCTCGCACGCTTTTGCACTGAACGTTTTCTTGTTTTACTTGAATAGGTGGACAGGCTTATAACCGAACTCAAGCTGCCGCCGACAGACGCCTATTACAAACTCAAGCATACTATAGAAGAAATCAACACCTTTATCAGCTCTTTCTCGACAAACCAAGCGATTGATCCTGTCTTCGGCAACATATGCTTCGCAAGTGCCACTGCCGGCTGGTCGTTTACGCTACTTTCTTTCGCAAAGCTCTACGTCAAGCTACACGGCATTCCTTTTGATGCGGAAAAGTTTGCGAGTCGACTTTGGGGTGACTATTACTACCACTCGGATACCAGAACTTTTAAGAAGACTCCTCCGGCCAGCGGCGGTGACCGGTCCTTCGTACAGTTCGTGCTGGAGCCGCTGTACAAGATATACAGTCAGCTGATCGGTGAGCACAAGAAAAGTGTCGAGACTGTTCTGGAAGAACTAGGAGTGAAGCTGAGTAGCGCTGCGTATAAGATGAACGTCAAGCCGTTGCTTAAGCTCGCGTGCAGCTCGATATTTGGTTCGGCCACTGGTTTCACGGATATGTTGGTAAGGCACATTCCTTCAGCAAAGGTGGCTGCTGCAACGAAAGTCGAGCACACTTACACAGGTCCACAGGACTCGATGATAGCAGAGTCCATAAAAACCTGCGACGCGAAGGGGCCGCTGATGGTGAACATCACAAAGCTCTATCCAAAGAGTGATTGCAGCGTGTTTGATGCTTTCGGAAGAGTTTTAAGTGGAACCATCGCCACGGGTCAGAAGCTCCGGGTCCTGGGAGAGGGTTATTCTCCAGATGACGAGGAAGACATGGCAATCAAGGAGGTGACGAAGTTATGGATTTATCAGGCACGTTACAGGATTGCTGTGAGCAAGGCACCCGTGGGAAGCTGGGTGCTTATAGAGGGTGTGGACACATCAATCACGAAGACCGCGACTCTATGCCCGGAGTTCACTGACGAGGATGTCTTTATTTTTCGGCCGCTCAAATTCAACACGTTGTCTGTCGTGAAAACAGCAACTGAGCCTCTAAATCCGAGCGAGCTTCCCAAGATGGTCGAAGGTCTTCGGAAAATCAGCAAGAGTTATCCACTGGCTATCACGAAAGTTGAAGAGTCCGGAGAGCATACTATTCTTGGTACCGGGGAGATTTTCCTAGACTCCATCATGAAAGATTTGCGAGAGCTTTACTCGGAAGTCGAAGTCAAGGTAAGTTCTGTCTTTTATAATTCATTTTCTAAATGACTAACTGGCCTTCTTTAGGTGGCTGACCCTGTGGTATCATTCTGTGAAACTGTTGTGGAGTCCTCGTCTTTAAAATGCTTTGCTGAAACGCCTAACAAAAGGAACAAGCTTACCATGGTACGTTCCATCCTACTTTATCTGCAAGAGTTCTATGAATTTGTGTGGCTTTCCAGCTAGCCGAGCCGCTCGAAAAAGGACTATCCGAAGATATTGAAAATGGAAACGTGTGTATCGACTGGCCTGCTAAGAAAGTTTCAGAGTTTTTCAAAGTGAGGTATGACTGGGATGTTCTCGCCGCGCGGTCTATATGGGCCTTTGGTCCTGATAAGCAGGTTGGTCGATTCTTTCCTTTCTCTGCTTTGCGCTCAACTTAAGTTTCAGGGACCAAACATTCTCTTGGACGACACTTTACCTAGTCAAGTGAACAAAGGGCTCCTCAGTTCTGTCAGGGACTCCATTGTGCAAGGGTACCAAATATATTGTTGAACGCTAAAGCCTGAATTTTTTTTTATAGGTTTCAATGGGGTGCCCGCGAAGGACCTCTCTGTGACGAGCCTATTCGCAACGTGAAGTTTAAAATACTGGATGCAACAATTGCGCAAGAACCTTTACATCGTGGTGGGGGTCAAATTATTCCCACTGCAAGGCGGGTCGCTTACTCTGCCTTCTTAATGGCAACGCCCCGGTTGATGGAACCAGTTTACTATGTGGAGGTAACATGTGCTGTATTTTACATTCCATATCTGAAAACGTTCGTTTCTAGATCCAAACACCTGTGGATTGTCTCACGGCAATCTACACAGTTCTTTCGCGGAGGCGAGGACATGTCACGAGTGATGCGCCAAAGCCTGGAACTCCTGCATATGTCGTGAAGGTAGAAGCATCGCTTGATCTCTTCACTGCACAATCTTATGTTTTTCTTCCTTTTTCTTTTTCTTTTTTTTCCTTTTTGTGCAGGCATTTCTACCCGTGATCGAGTCATTTGGATTCGAGACTGATTTGCGCTATCACACTCAGGGCCAGGCCTTTTGTTTGTCCGTTTTTGATCACTGGTCCATCGTTCCGGGTGATCCTCTAGACAAGTCCGTGGTTCTCCGGCCACTGGAACCAGCGCCCGTGCAACACCTTGCACGAGAGTTCATGGTGAAAACTCGTCGCAGGAAGGTCAGTAGTTGTAGCTAAGCTCTCTTTTTGAAAACTTACGTCCTTGGGAATTTGTGTTTGCCAGGGAATGAGCGAAGACGTGAGCATTAACAAGTTTTTTGACGATCCAATGCTGCTGGAATTGGCGAGACAAGACGCTGACTTGCAGCAAATTCTCTAAGAGCTCAAGCTCTTTTCTTTTTCTTTTTGCTGTACCATCAAACGCATCAAAAGGTTGTAGCTCAGCGGTGGAATTCAGTTGGTTGAAGTGGAGTAAGTGTTGAAGCTGGGATATTCCGTATGGGAATATTCTCAGCATATGTGGTAATTACCATTAAATTTTTTAATTCAATAGTCCTCTTTATTTAGCAATTCAAATTTGAATTTAGGGCTGCTGTTAGGGTTCTTGAGGTTTATGGCAAGGAGGGCCGCAAGGCTATTCCCGGGCCATGGCGCGCGGAGAATGTCCACCTCCACGCTCGCGTTCGAGGAGATGGAAGACAATGCAGCGCATTCCAAGGAGAAAACGGTGATGTTCCTGCACGGGTTGCTAGGGTCTGCCAGGAACTGGCGGGGATTCGCCAAGCGGCTCCAGTATGCGATCGATCCAGGTTCCTGATCGATCGTTTGTGCTGGATCTGTCCTGAAATTCGCCGTGGCGCCTTGCAGCTTGGAGAATTGTGATGGTTGATCTTAGAAATCATGGCCAATCCGGCGAGCTGGAACTATCACCCCCTCACGACATCCCTGCGGCAGCTAGGGACGTAGCAGATCTCATCAGAGCTCGTCCAGAGCTCCATCCCGACGTGCTGGTTGGGCATTCCATGGGAGGGAAAGTAACGCTAGAATTTGCGAAGTCCTCCATGGAGAGAAAGTATGGAAGCATGACCGTGCCTAGACAAGTGAGTCTTTTCTTTCTTCTTTCGTTCTCTCAAGTTGTTCTTACTATGGTCTTTCCTTTTCGTGGAACTTCCTCGCAGTTATGGGTTCTTGATTCTGTCGTTGGTGAAGTCCCAATAAAAAACGAAGAAGGCGAGGTGGAAAGAGTGTTGGAAACCATCAGAACTTTGCCTCAAGTCATACCATCACGCAGGTCTCCTCTCATTGTTTCATGATTTTCTTTGCCAGATTATAACGGTGTTGTTGTGTTCTTCACTAGATGGCTTGTGGAGCGGATGCAAGAGCTAGGATTCTCGAAAGGCCTCGCCAATTGGCTGGGCAGTAACTTAAAAGCAATATCACCCGGCAGCGAGGAGTCAAAATGGGTGTTTAACTTCGACGGCGCGTACTCGATGTTCACGTCTTACAGGTGCTTTGCTCGCAGCTCTCGATTTCTTGCTGACACTCTCCTCTCAGGAAAATGGATTACTGGTCTCTCCTGGAAAATCCCCCAGCTGGGAGTGATATTGGCATCGTCAGGGCGGGCAGGAGCGATCGATGGACTCCTGAGATCATTGCTCGTCTGGAAGAACTCTCGAGAGCGGCTCCAGAAGATGGTAGAAGGGGCAGTGTTACGTATCGTGTATTGGAGAATGCTGGTCACTGGGTCCATGCCGATAATCCCGAAGGCTTATTGGAGCTTCTACTACCATCTTTCCAGTCCTGAGGGTAAAGATCAAGGTGAAGACCCTGAGCGAGGTAGAGTTTTGCATACTGCTTACGTTCTTATACAGATAGTCAAAAACAATTTTTTCGATCTTCCTTGGCCGGCATGATCAAAGGAAGAAAGTTGCTTGCTCACGATGCAGTGTTTCTCAAGAGCACCGAAGAGCTAGACACAGCCCTTGGCCTTCAGTTCTTCGTCATACTCTTCTTCCTCCTCCTCCCGACGCGCCATCTCCTCTTCGTGAATCTCAGGCGTCCTACGAGCAAAACAAAGCACGAGCTTTCGATCGACCACACCGACTGGAAAGAGGCCTTACCAGTCGAAGATGAACATCGCGAGGAGCCTGTACACGTCGCGCGTCTCGTACTGTCGCCAGAGCTCAAGATAAAACAGGTCGCGCTCCTCCGCTTCACAAGCAGTGCTCTCGGCTAGCATGGCTGCATATGAATTCTGCATATGGGTTCCTGTGCTCCAGCCAGCGTCGAGCGAGGTAGAGAAAGAAAGGTGAGAGATTATCATGCCTCAAGATAGCGATCCATGCAATGATCGGGAGCATAGCGCTGGACGTACCATGATTTCTTCCCTATAGTGTAAACAATCGCGTCGAAACCCAGTGAGCGCCTTCCTGACCTCGAGTGTCTGGTAGACCGCTTCCCTCAAGCCGCCAGGAATTGCAGTGGGCTTCTTAGCAAATATCGCTTCCACCTCCGAGGTCTCTATACTAGCGATGGAGGGCAAAGGAAGAAAGCTGGTAAGGGTTGTCACCAGCCTTTTGTAGTTTCGAAATCTCGCAAGCATCAATTTAATTTAATTTGCAGTATGGTCTTGAGTTTGCAGACGAAGGACATTGGTTTATGTGTCTATGCAAGATCAAAATGACAAGCATATGGATACGAGGAATTACACTGTTTAGTCTAGACTGACATGAAACCCCCCACACATATGAAAGTATGAAGTTGCTTCTCTCACTTTTTTTGCTTTTGCTCTCTTTTTATCATCAACTATAGCTCCTCTCCTTAACTTCTTTCTAGCTTGGTTGGCTGAATTATTACTGGATGAGCTTACTCATTTGAGTTCATTTTTAAATTTCAGAAAGTAAAATGTCTTCTTCTTGGATAATCCGGAGGCTGAAAAGGATGACGGCGAACAAAAGAGCTGGAGTTCCTAAGAGAAGGTGACTTGAGCCACTCCATTCGACGCGAGAGCTGCGACCATCTCTGGAACTGTGACGAAAACAATCACTGGATTTCCCGGAGACGCGGCCTGAGCAGCAGCAGCGGCAGCGATCTCGCCCGAGGACGAGGACGAGGACGAGGACGAAACCGGCACCACCATCACGCTCTCCAGCCCCAGCTGCGCCTTGATCAGCTCCAAGTTCTCCTCAAACACCCATCGCTCGTCGAATGGCAGCCGCAGCTCCAGCGCCTGCGGCCCGACCGACAGCGTCTCGTCCTTCTTGAACTTGACGAACGGCATGCACTTCTTCTGGATCTGCTTGAAGTCCCCGGACTGTCCCACCGAGCTCTCGCGCAGCCGGGCCAAGATCTCCGCGTCCGGAGTGAACGTCTTGCTGCCGCTGTCGTAGCACGACTGGAGAATCTTCAGGGACTCCTCCTTCCAGCCTTCGTACTTCTCGGCTACGTAGATCAAGCCCGCCAGTGGAGCCGGCGCTGTTGGAGGCGCTGCTGCTTGTCCCTTCTTGGCCTTTTTCGAGCCGGCCAGGTGCTTCTGCAAGGCCTTCCGGAAGTCGGCAAGGATGGACTGGAAGAACTTGTTCGCTCTCTGAAGGGTCAAGTCGGGAGTTCCTGAGGCCGGCCAGCCTGCCGTCACTGCAAATCCTTCCTGGTGAAAGATCTCCGATCGGACATACTCGGCGTAGTGCGGACAAATTGGAGTCAGTAGCCGAGTCTGGACGTCCGCGAACCTGAAGATCAAGTCCCTGTTCATGCCCGAGGAGGAGCACGCCAGCCGGTACTCGTCCCTGGCGATCTGGAGATCGTAGAAACCCGACTTGAGCGCCTCACGGAACATCAGAGCTTTGTAGTTCTTCTCTGTCTGGTTGATAGCAATGTTGATCTCGTTCTCAAACACGCGGTCCGCGAATGTAGTAGGGGGTCCCTTCCTCAGATCCTTTTCAGCAGCAATGAGCTCGTCGCTCATCCAGGCCATCTCCTTCGTCAGGCGCAGGATGGCGGAGTTTGCCGTCAGCTTGACGAAGTTTGCATCGTCGACCGAGTCTCCAGCGTCCGCCAGGCCGAACCTCGTTGCATCTGCCGAGAAGTCATTCACAGCGTCCCGAATGGTGAGGAAGTTCCCAGTCGACTTGGCCATCTTCTCCCCGTTCAGCAGCAGGAAACCATTGCACCGGAACGAACGAGGCCACCTCTCCTCCGGGAACATGGCGGTGTGATTGTAGATGCTAAAAGTCAGGTGGTTCTGGATGAGATCCTTCCCAGAGACGCGCAAGTCGAACGGATACCAGTAATCAAACTCTTTCTTCATCCTCTGCAGAGTTTCAACCGGAATCTCGCTCTCTGGAAGAGGTCCCATGCCAAACACGAAGTCCCAGACTTTCCTCGTCATCTGCTCGGGCTTCACAGCATGATCACCTTTGCCATACAAGTCCCCCTCCTGTAAGATATGTGCCACCGTGTAGTACGCCATGTAGATGGTTGAATCCGACAGAGACTCGATCAAAAAGTCCTGGTCCCAAGGAAACTTTGTGCCCAGCCCGAAAGAACGCGAGCAGGCCCATTGGTTCAGCCATCCAAGAGCGTGCTCGAACAAGCGCCTCGTTTCGTCGCTGTAGAGCTCCATCTGCGTCAGGCATTTTTCCGCCTGTGACTTCCATTCCTCCTCACCATACTGTAAGTACCACTGGTCCGTCAAGGCCACCACACACTCGTCTCCTGACCTCGATATCACTTTCTTTTCGGGCTCGCTATAGATAATAGCTTGGCCTGACTCCACCAGCAACTTCTTGATCAGCGGCTTCGCCTCCTGGACTTTCATTCCGGCATAGTCACCCACCAGCATCTTCCCGTCTGTGAACCCCTTCAAGTACGTCATCTTCTTTGCAGCTTCCAGATCATCCCGGTTGTTCTGGCTCTTGATCTTCATGCTGATGCAGACCGCTTCCGCCGACTTGTCCCCGAATTCCGGAATGTTGATGATGGGAATGACTTCGAAAGGTAGCACCCACTCGTCTCGGACGTTAAACTTCGCCCGCAGCCCAGGCTTCGACTTCAAATCCGAGAGTGCCATGTAGTCGTCGGGAGAGTCGCTTGGCACACTCGTCACAACTCCAGTACCTTTGTCCGTCTTGATGGTCAGCATCGGCAGCACGTAAACCACTGGATTCTTTGCAAGCGGAGAAACCACCGCCAAACCGATCAAGTCCTGTCCCTTGAGTTCCACCAGGCACGTCGGTTGCTGCGGAACCCGTGACAAGTTCTGATAAGCCATGTTCAAGGCAGCCCGAGCCGTCACCACGAAAACTTCCGTCTCGCTGACTTCATAAGCACCGTAGTCACCGTCTGCCAGAACCCATGCATTTGTTTGGCCATACATGGTCTCCGGCCTCAAGGTGGCAGCTGCCAAGAAGACCTTCTTCCCTTCCAAAGCCTTGAGTTTCCCTGTGAAAGGAGGCTGGACCTCCATTTTGATAAGGACGTACTCTTGAGGAGCCACACCCTCACCGGAAGCTCGATCGTGGTCGGCACAAGGCTGCCTGTCCAGAGGAGAATAGATGGCATACCGCAAATCCTTGCCCACCTTCTTCTTCTCACGCAAGTGCTCAAACTGCCACCTTACGAAAGAGTCGTAGTAAGGATTCGCCTCTGTGGTGATGAAAGAGCGTCTCCAGTCACAGCTCAGGCCGAAGAACTTCAAGTCGTTCTTGGCGATGGGCGGAAAATACTCCAGCCAGTAGAGTGGATCCCGGAACTTGGCAATCTCATCGTCCTCCAGACCCAAAGACCTCATGATCGTCCACTGATACTTGGAAGCACCGGACTTCGCCACAGCCTTGCTTTTCTTTGCTTTGAACTTCACCTCCACTGGAACCTCTTGAGTGGCCTCTTCTTTGTTCGCAACTGGAGCTGGAGCTTCTGCTGGAGCGTCGTCCGTCACCTCTGTAGGAAACACTGGAGGACACCCAAATTCTTCGCTCTCGCGGACCAGCTTATCGGCACAAGCCTTGATCGGCATCCCTGTGCAGTGAAATCCCATTGGCAGCAGCACCTTCGTGCCACAAAGCCTCTGGAACGCCGCGGAGAACTCTAGCTTGGAGAGCGAGAACGCGTGGCCCAAGTGAAGCGCCCCATTCATGTAGGGGTATGGAAAATTCCCGAAATATTTCTCACCGGGCTTGGGCGGCTCGTCGCTCGCATCGACCTCGAAGATCTTGGCGTCCTCCCATCGCTTCTGGATAATCTTCTCGATACCCAGCAGCTTGTCACGCCGCTCGGTGCTCATCTTCTTCTCGGCGCCATCGCTGGCCATCCTGGATCGATGAACAGAGAAAATGCGACTTAAACCACGGAGGATCTCTCGGCGAGCAAGAAAACTCACGTCGCGATGCAGCGAAGGATGCGACGTAGAGAGCCTCCCGTGTTGCCGCTACAGCAGCGCCGCCGCCGCCGCCGCCGCGCAGTGAAGCTCTCGTTCTGGTAAACCCTAATCCTCACTGGCAAGGCACCTACGATGGTCAAGGGTTCCATACCTATCTATCTTGAGCAAGGCGAGTCGCTTTCTTAATGGCTAAGCAATCTCTGGACGTGGGTAACGTATTTTTTCATGCGTTTTGTTACACAGTTCTTTTGCGGAGGCGACATGGAACTCCTGCAAAGGTAGACTTATATTTTTCTTTTGTGCAGTCATTTCTACCTTGAGACTGATTTGTGCTATCATCCATCGTTGGTGCCGTGGTTCTCGCAAGAAAATTCGGGCATCTTATTTAAATCCCTTAGTCTCATGCTGCTTGGGGGTGCTACTAGACCATGGAAACAGTATATGAATGAATGAATGAATGAATGAATGAAAGCTCAATCAACATGTTACATGGGAGTTGGACTCCATACTAATTATTAAGAAAATTGATATGAAGTGGAAGCCACTTTTTATTCAATAATTATATATCAAAACTTTTGTGATAGTTTCAAACTTGCATTTGACTATTGATTTTAAATTATACTCTACAATAAACTCTTGGAGCTGGATCTTCTTAACTAATTATATAACTTTCTCTGAAGGAAAGTTGGACTATTAAAATAAATTGCTATGTGTTGCATATAGTAACACTTGGTTTGTTTAATAATAGTGTTATTCTTACTTATTAATTCAATTGGTTAAATAAAGTTTATAATTAGAAGCATGTTTGTAATTTATAAACACAAAATTATTTTTATTGCATATCAACCATTAAATGATGGAATAAAAAATAATATACTAGAAAGGGTTTAATTTATAAATTATAAATATAATATTAATCTAAATGAATAACAACCTTTAGATGGTAAAATATTCTAGAATATTCAAGCATATTCTAGGTATATTCACTACCATACAGGTTTGCTTAAGCAAACCAAAAATACCAAGTTATTCAACCCTAAACCAAATAAACTTAAAAACCTTTAAATGTACTATAATAGTAATTACTACTATGGTAAATTTAAAGAAGGGTACATCAGAGTTGGTTTTTTTTTCTAAGAAATTTATTTTAGAAAAAAACCCTTAACTTATGAGGGAGAAGTATTAGCCAAGAGTAACTAGTTATACAATTGTTTACATAAATGACTTTTTATATTATAATTGAGATATACTTAATTATAATATAAAAAGTCATTTATGTAAAAAATTGTATACTTGGACTTTTAAGGATGTTATGGATCACTAATTAAGTAGCTTTAGGAGGTCTTTGTTCTAAAAAATAATTTGCTGCACATTATATATAGCAACACTTGATTTTCTTAATACTGTTTAGTATTATGTTTTGGAACTAAATAAACTAGAATCTAAAAGGTATAAAATGAAAATCTACTATTGTTCTCTAGGAATTCAATTGATCAAATAGAAGTTTATAATTTATAAACAATAAACTAAAATATAATAAAAAGTGTTTTAGAAAGTTTATAAACTATTAACATGTTTATAAATTATAAATACAAGATTAATCTTAAGAATAAACTAAAATATACTACAAAATTGTTTTGGAACGTTCGTGCAATCCACAGTTGCGGGATTGCTCAGGGGGATGTATAAATATAAAGCATATCCCAGAATCCAAACATATTCATGATTTGATTTAAGCAAACCAATAATTTTTACATTTTCCACAAACATATTTGATATCTTCTTTTTCTTTTGACAACCAAAAAGTGTCTCTTTGATTGAAGTAGACTTCTAGTTTCTATTGCAAACATTTGACCTCTTCTACTTTATATTTCTAATTGAGAGTAGAGAGTTTGATGTTATAGATTCTTCTAATTCTTGTTGAGGTCTAGACCTTTGTCATTCACTATCCAAAACTTATCTGCTTTTGACGATCTAAACTAATAAATGACTTTGCACATTAACTTATAAGCCAACTCTAAGCCTACTTTTAATAACTCAGAATTTCTATGCAAATGTTCACAAGATAAACCATATAGCATCAATAACACAAGAAAATGGAAGATTTTCTTGTTTGTGTAGCATGGCCACTTCAGGTGAACATTAAAACAGTTTACCTTAGAATACTGTTCAAGATAGAAGAATAACATGTAAAAAATAAGAACTAAATAATAACAATATCTTCCTAACTAATAGGAAATCCTAGAATGTACCTGAAGATTCTATAAAGCAAACCATATTGAAATGTTTGGACAGAGAAGTCGAGCTATAAAACAATTGATCAAGCGCTATTTGATGTGGTTCATGTTACATTTACAAATTTTCGGACAGAGCGATGACACTCCCCTCCCGCCCAGCATTTGCAGAGCAATTTCTTCCAATCATTATATTCTACGATAGGATCTAGCAATGCCTCAGTGGAAATGTGACGTGGCAAATTTCTAGGGTCAGGGTGATCGTTTAAAACACGCGTCGGATAGTTTTAGGACTTATCTGGGCATGGCTATGGCGAACGATGGAGGAGGCACGGTGGTCTTTGCGAGCGTGGGACGATCCCACTACGCCTTCGACGCATTCGCGCTCGATATCGCCACGCTCAAGGAGGAGGTACTCACCGACGGCGTCTCGGTTAACTTCAATGCCCAATTCGTGGAGGACGATCCGGTCTCTCTGGAGCTCCTGTGCGAACACGATCCATTGCCCAATTATCACCAGGGGGAGAAACCCAGTGCCGTGATCTTCGTCTCGGAGCGAACAGGAGCTAGCAACATCTTCCTCCGCCGCCAGTCGCTCACAAGTAAGTCCGATCGTGATGATCACAGCTCCACGCTCAAGCTCGGCAGCCTCGACGCTGGCGATGGATTCCTCTACTGCGATCGCCCCTGCGTCGCTGGCGGTGGAAGGATCATCTTCGCCTCCACCAAGAGCTCGCCGGAAATCTCGCAGAACCTCCGCCAGCCTAGCACCGCCATCTTCTCGGCGTGCCTGAGGATCGGCTTGACGAGGCGGCTCACTCCCGAGGGCGTCGCGGACTATAGCCCGGCGCTCTCGCCCTCGAAGAAATGGATCGCGGTGGCCTCCAACGCTGGCAAGCCGTGGAGCGGCGAGATCCACGAGCTGGAAACGTCACTGTGGATCTTCAAGGCCGAGGATGGATCGTCTCGAAAGATGGTCGTGGAAAGAGGAGGATGGCCAACTTGGTCGGACGAGAGAACCATCTTCTTCCACAAGAGATCCCCCGAGGACGACTGGTGGAGCATCTACAAGGCTGTTCTTCCGGAGAGTCTGGAAGATCTCGACGCCGCGAAGATCGATCAGGCCGTGGAGCGAGTGACACCACCCGGAGTTCACGCTTTCACCCCGGCAGCGTCCAGGACGAGCAACTGGATCGTGGTGGCGACTCACAGGAGCAACACCACGTCGCGGCACATCGAGCTCTTCGATCTCTCTAAAGGATCGTTTCTTCCCGTCACCTTGGAACTCCACCCCGAGCTCCACCACTTCAATCCTTTCGTGTCCGCCACCTCGGACACTCTCATCGGCTACCATCGCTGCCGCAACGATGGATCCATCGTCCCAACGCTGGAACACGTCGCTTGCCCCGCGAACAACGACATCACTCTCGTCCGGATCGATGGCGCGTTTCCATCCATCTCCAGCGACGGAGCTCTCATCGCCTACAACACCGACTTCGAGGCCAGCGATTCCGGAGTGATGGTGGCCAAGCTCGACGGATCAAACCGGAAGAGGATCCTCACAGGCCTGGCCTTCACGACGTGCTGGAACCCATGCAAGCCCGGGACGATCTACACCAGCGTCGGCCACATCTTCGCGGAGGAGCGAGCGATGGTTCACATCGTCTCGCTCACTTTCGACGTCACAGCGCTCGAGGATCACTCCAGTTCTTCGAGTTCTACGCTGGAATCCAGCGTCAAAGTTCTCAGCAAGCCGGGAACCAACAACAACGCGTTCCCGAGCTGCTCCCCGGATGGCAAGAACCTGGTGTTTCGATCCGGGCGCTCGGGCCACAAGAACCTTTACATCATGGACGCGGAGCTCGGCGAAGATGGTGGAATCCGAGCTCTCACCGAGGGTCCCTGGGTGGACACCATGCCGTGCTGGTCGCCGGATGGAAACTGGATCGCTTTCTCCTCCTCGAGAGACGGTCCCTCCAACGAGTTCTTCGCCATCTATCTCGTCCACCCCGATGGATCTGAGCTCCACCGAGTCTTCCCGGAGAGCTCCACGAGAGGCCGATGCAACCACGTTTGCTTCAGCCCGGACTCTCAAACGCTGCTCTTCACGGCCGACTGTGGTGGTATCTCGGCCGAGCCAGTGTCCCTGGCTAACCAGTTCCAGCCTTACGGAGAGCTCTTCTCGTGCAAGCTTGATGGATCGGAGCTCCGGCGATGGACTCACAACGCGTACGAGGATGGAACGCCTTGCTGGGGGCCTTTACGCCTTGATCCTTCCTCCATCTCCAAGCAAGGGCAGGAACTTCACGCAAACTTCCAGGATTGTCTCTGGTTGAGCGCCGTGACTGAGAAGATGAAGCAGTACGCTGCTGCGTAGTAGCGTTCTCTCTTGCGATTGACAATAACTTGGCATCCTCCATCGCCAAGAGCTTGGTTTATCGTATTGGATACTTGCATGAACAAGACCCATGGCTGAACTGATGAAAGCTTCGATCGTCCCTGAGCGTGATCACCCTGTCCGCCACCTCGGAGATACACTTGATCACCTCGTGGCAGTCTTGGCACACGCCGATGTTCTTGACGATCCTCAGGGGCGTCCCCTCGGGTGTGGAGATCAATCCAAACACCACCGCCACCTTCTCGCTGTGGTACGACAACAAGAACTTCTTCTCTTGCTCGCCGTGATCGTGCACCTTCTTGATCGGATCCCGCTCGTACCCGGCCTTCCGGATCTCCACGCACAGCCTCTCGAGCTCCGCAAAGATTTCCTCCTCCCTCGGAAGAAGACGATCATCACCCGCGAAGAACTCGTACACCCGGTTGTTGATCTCGATCCAGCTACACCCCGGCTGCGTGATGAATCCCCGCTCCACCAAGCTCTGCCGCGCGTTCCTCACGTCGTCCCACTTCCGGCTCAGGCAAAACACGCTGGCGAGGAGCGAGTACGCGGAGCCGGATCTCAAGCTCGCCAGCCGCGCCGCCACCCTGCGAGCTCGTTCCAGATCGCCATACGTCCTACAAGCGCTGAGCAGCGTCATCCACGTCGAGTGATGCGCTCCCAGCGGCGCCCTCCTCATGAGCGCCTCGGCCTCGCGGATCCACCCCGCGCGGCTCAGCAGATCCACCAGGCACGCAAAGTGTGCCTCGGTGGGGGCGATGCCGTGGTCGTGGCGTAGCGACGTGAAGAACGCGACCGCCTCCCGGACGAGGCCCGAGTGGCTACACCCCGCGATGGCGCTCACGAAGCTCACGCTGTCCGGCTTGACGCCCTCCTGCTGCATCGAGTAGAAGCAGCGCAGCGCCTCCTCGGAGAGCCCGAACTGCGAGTACGCTGCCACCATCGCGCTCCAGGCCACCACGTCGCTCGCTCGCGCGCGCCGGGCCTTCGCAAACTCGGCCTTCGCATCGGCCAAGCTCCCACACTTCGCGTACATGTTGATCACCGAGGTGGTGAGAAGATCCGCGCTCGCGACCGCTTGACGATCGAAGAGCCCACGCTCGAGCATCCGGGAGTGCGTCAGGCGGCCGAGTCCCAGCGCCGCCAGGCTCGCGCAGGCGTCCAGGATCGAGAGGAACGTCACCGCGTCCGGGGCTACGCCTTGCAAGCTCATCCTCGCGAAGATGCCGAGCGTCTCCTTGCCTTGATCGCGAAGAACGTAGGCCGCGAGGAGCGCGTTCCACACCGTCACGTCTCGGACGTCGCGCATTCGATCGAAGGCTCGCCTGGCCGCGTCTGGATTGCCGCACTTGCCATACATGTCCACCAGCGCGGTCTGGAGGACGGGGTCGAGCTCTATCCCGCTCTCCGCGAGGCGGTCGTGGATCTCCTCGCCGAGCGCTAGCGCTTCCGAGCTCGCCCGAGCTTCGTCCTTGCCGGAACCAGCGATCGCAACGCACGACTCGAGGAGGTTGACGAAGGTGAAGCTGTCGAGCTTGACGCCTTCGTGGTCCATCCTCTTGATCACCGCGATCGCTCGCTTGCCATGGCCGTGCCGGGCGTACGCTGCTAGCAAAGTCGTCCAGGAGATCTTGTCTCTCGTCTCGATCCCTTCCAGCGCATGCCTCGCAGCTCGGAGCTTCCCACACTTGCCATACAGGTTGACGAGCGCATTCGCCACGGCGTTGTCCGACTCCAATCCCTCGCCAGCGACGATCTCGTGGACGATCCGGCCCCGGGAGATGGATTGCATCCACGCGCAGGCATCGATGACGCTCACGAGAGTGATCTTGTTCGGCCGCAGCCCATCCAAGTCCATCTCCCCAAGCAAAGCGAACGCTTCCTTGTAGCGATCGTGTCTGGAGCAAGCCGCGATCATCGTGTTCCAAGTCACCGTGTTCTTCGCCTCCATCCTCTCGAACACCTCCCTCGCGAGATCCACCTCGCCACACTTCCCATACATGTTGACGATCGTGTTGCCGAGGATCACATCGTCGCCAAGGAGCCCATCCGCGACGATCCTCTCGTGGATCGACTTGCCCAGCGCGATCGCCCCCAAGCTCGCGCACGCATCCAGGACGCTCACGAAGGTGATCGCGTTGGCCTTGACGCCTTCGTGATCCATGCGCACGAAGAGCTCCAAAGCATCGGCCGGATGCCCGCGCTGGGCATACGCTGCGATCATCGCACTCCACGACACAACATTCCTCACGACCATCGCATCGAAAGCTCTCCTCGCGTGGATCACACTACCGCATCGATTGTACATGGTGAGCACCGCGGTCGCCACCACAACGTCGGATCCAAGCCCGGACGCCTCGCAAACCGTGCGGTGGAAGAACTCCCCCTGCGACAAATCCCCCAGGCTCGCGAATGCGTCGAGGATGGCGATGCACGATACTCTATCCGGCGCCACGCCCTCGAGCGCCATCGCCCGGAAGATCTCCAGAGCCCGGGCGTGATGCCCATTCCGGGCATACTCCGCGATCGCGAGATTCCAGGAGAAGGGGCTCCTCTCAGCCATTGCGGCAGCGTCGCCATGGATTTCTACCGGGAGATTCTCCACTGGCGAGCCGGCAATCTGGGCGTGGACGATCTTGGAGCTCCCCAGCAGTGCCGCGCGCTCGCAATCGCTGGCTGGGAGTGGATTGCCTTGCTCGTGGTAGCCCTGGCTATGGATCCACAAGCATTGGAGCCTGCCCTTGCCTCTCTGGCATTGGCGCAACATGAATGAGACGACATGATCCTCTCGGGGCGAGTTTTAGGGTTTTTGGAGGATGGGTTGATTTGGGCGGGAACGCGATGGCTTCGTGCCCGGCAAGATCAGCGCCAATCCATCCCATCGACAAGGCATCGATTCACAGGATCTGCTCCGGCCAGGTGATTCTAGATCTTGCCACCGCCGTCAAGGAGCTCGTCGAGAACAGCCTCGATGCTGGCGCCACCAGCATTGAAGTCAAGCTCAAGGAGCACGGAGGGGATGCGATTGAGGTCTCGGACAATGGGTCTGGCGTCTCCTCCGATAACTATCAGGTCTTCTTTCTTTCTCTCGATCTCTTTGTTCTTCGCAAGTTCTCAAGTGATTTTTTTTTGCATTTTTTCAGGGACTTACGCTCAAGTATCACACGTCGAAACTCTCAGATTTTTCCGACTTGCAGTCTTTGACGTCGTTTGGATTTCGCGGGGAGGCTTTAAGCTCCCTCTGCTCGCTGGCCGACGTAAGTATTCTTACAAGGACCAAAGAGGACGAAACGGGAACTCGTATATCTTACAACCGCGCTGGTCTCATCGTTTCTAAAGAGACTGCCGCTCGCCAAGTCGGGACTACTGTGACCGTCTCAAAGCTGTTCAGTCCGCTCCCCGTGCGGCACAAGGAGTTTTTGCGAAACGTGAGGCGGGAGTACAGCCGCATGATCGCCATTTTGCAAGTAAGGATCGAGTTTCCTTGTCTTTCTTCGATGTTCTCATCGCTTCTTTGACAGGCTTATGCACTGATTTCCAAAAATGTTCGCCTGGTGTGCACGAACTTGGTTGGCAAAAGCAGTCGCTCCACGATTCTACGCACACAGGGTGGCTCTGTCAGGGAAAACATCGTCACCATCTTTGGTCCCAAGACGATGGCGTGCTTGGATCCTATGGACATCAGCTTGCCCGAGGACTTAAGCATCGAAGGCTTCGTTTCGAAGCCGGGGTCCGGCTCTGGCAGAGGATCGAGCGACCGCCAGTTTTTCTTCGTCAATGGACGACCGGTGGACTTGCCAAAGTTTAGCAAGCTGCTAAACGAGCTCTATAAATCTTTCAACTCACAGCAGTACCCGATGGCTGTGCTCAACTTTCGGCTTCCAACAACGGCGTATGACGTGAATGTAACTCCGGACAAACGCAAGCTCTTCCTTCACTCGGAAAGCTCGTTCATGGACGGTCTCAGGAACGCTCTTGGTAACTTATACGCTCCCAGCAAGTACACGTACGCGGTCCATGAGGTGGAGGAGCAGAAGTCCTATATGGCGGACTTGCAAACTCAGGTAGATATCGAGGCTGGAGTTGAAGAAGTTGAAGCTAGTGAAGAAGAACAGAATGAAGATGAAGATGACGAAGCGGAGCCAGAAGCTTCGAAGCCTCTGGACTTTTTCGCTTTTTCTCATGAGGATGTGAGCATCAAAACATCTGTGAGGCCGGCCAGGGTGGCACTTGCGGACAAGAAATGTTCCGTCCAGGGGAAGCTGACTGGATTTGTTTCGCAAAAGAGAAGAACTGAAGACTCCAAAGAGCTGCTTAGTGAAGAACCAGTGCTCAAGAGACGCGCAACGACGATGGAACTCAAAACTCCTCCAAATGCTTTTCCGAAGGAGAAAAACTTCGAGACCGCTAGACAGGCTGATCACTCGTCGAATCCACAGAATGGATCGGCGACAGATGGTGAGGCTCTTGGTGAAGAATGTGGAGGCCTTCTAAGTGAAGCGCCATTGCTGAAGAAGTGTGCAAAGGTGGGACTTGTGCCGAAGTACTTTGCTCCCAAACAGCAGGACTCTTCTGTGCAACGTCCGAAGCCTGGTCGAATCAGCGAGCTGCCGAAAAATCCTGTTACTCTTGAATCTGACGACGATGAGGAGGATTCTAGACCTTCCGAAGTTCAGGTACGCATCTTTTTTTGCGGTTTTTTTTTTTTAACTTGGTTTTTTTTAAGGTTTTGCATACTAAGGATCAAGATAAGTCGCCCGAGCCTCCTCATACTCCCGCTGAAAAGGCGAAATGTTGCAGCGGGACTAGATATAAGCGCGATAGCTTGTTATCCGAGGAGGTGAATCCCGTAGCATCCACGGAAATCCGAGAGGTCGAAGATGACGAAACCGAAAAAAGCATGGACAGGGCCGAAGCGTGTGCGAGAGAACTTAGCTTCGATATTGAGAAAGTGCGGGGCAGGATACGAAGAGGTTTGTTTCAATACAACAAAAACTTCTCCGCCAAAAGTGCGAAAGGAAGGTAAGGTGTTAGTATTTCTTACACACATCATGATGTGATATTTCGTGAACAGGTCCTTCAAAGCGGCCACTTTAAGTCTCGAAGGCCCAGTTCAAGATAAAGAGGCAGCGTTGGCCTCAGCAACGAAAGAACTCGAGCGCTCTTTTCGGAAAGGCGATTTTAATCGCATGAAGGTAGTAGTAGTAGTACGCTTTGCAAGTTTTATCTCCTTACGATACAACTCTTGACAGATAATTGGTCAGTTCAACCTTGGATTTATTATTGCGAGGCTGGACTCTGATTTGTTTATTATCGATCAGGTAGCTTAATATCAAGTTTCTTTCTCTGGAGCAAAGCGTTTTCATTATTTTCAATTCCGTTCAGCATGCGTCGGACGAAAAGTATAACTTTGAGCGTTTGTCCAAGTCCACAGTCTTAAACCGGCAACCTCTTCTCAGGTGTGACCTTTACTTTGTATTCATTGGTTTTTTATAATTCATGTTTTTCAACAGGCCAATGCCGCTACATTTATCTTCAGCGGAGGAAATCATCATCTCGACACACATGGAAGTATTCAGGTGCACGAGGAAACAAACAGGAAATCTAAAGGAATGCTCGAATTTTTCCATGACAGGCAAAATGGCTTCGATTTTACTGAGCAAGAGGACGCGCCTCCCGGGCAAAGGATTCTCTTGTCTGCCGTTCCATTCAGCAAAAATGTTACCTTTGGCGTCTCAGGTAAACTTAGAACGCTGATATACCAATCTTTGTTTTTCTTCTCTGCTAGATGTCCAAGAGCTAGTGTCGCTCTTATCGGAAGATTATGGGAGCAGCTCCTCCCATCTCGTCCAGCCATCGCGGGTGCGCTCAATGCTGGCTTCACGCGCCTGCCGGTCGTCGATTATGATCGGCGATGCCTTGAGTAAGAAAGAAATGGAAAAGGTCAGTGCACAATTTCGAGAGAACTAAAGTTCTATTCACTCACAAATTTTTGTGTGCTTTGTGTCCAAAGGTTGTGAGGCATCTCGCAGACTTGGACGCGCCTTGGAACTGTCCGCATGGACGTCCCACCATGCGGCATCTGTATGATCTAAACGCCAAGAAAAAGGCTTTGCTGTCACCGTGATAACCTGTAAGTTATGTACAAAGCTCCATTTTGCAAGTAACCGTAGTCTTATTTCATCGCTAGTTTTGCTAATTCTCGAATTTCAGGAGACCACAGCTGCAAATGGCTAATAGAAGGTTTGCGATTATAAAAGGACTCTCTTCTCGAGTAAACTTACATATGTCAGAGATATAAATCTATGAATCTTCTCTTCCAGATGTGCAAGAATAAGTGTCGCTTCATGGACGTCGCACCATTGTATGGTCTAACGAAGGCTTCGTTGTCACGGTGATATATCGTAAGTTGTATGGTTTTTCCTGTACAGGCACGTAGAATGCCACTTACATCGTTTTTTTTTTTTGTTTTCGTTAGCAAGCGGGCAGTAAATTCTTAAGAGACGAGATTTATAAACAAAGCATCACCTTCCATGGAAACAATTCAGTATGGAATAGTACCCAGGCCTTCTCCATCGTGAATCAGGCTCTCGGTAAGCCAGTACCCATCCCAGCTCCCTCCAACCATCTGGAAAACTTTCGGGTTAAGCTCTGAGAAGCATTGAAGAAAAACCAGTCACCTGGACGAGAGTAAACTCGAAAGTCCCCTCTTCGTCAGGACGAGCACCCTGGATCCATATTCTCTCCTTAAGCGAATGCTGTAAAGCAAAAGAATCTTCATCATAAGAAGCGAAAGAGAAGCCATACCTCTGACACTCGTAAGCTACTCAATGTGCGTCTCTCCTTGTGACCGAGGAGCACTCTGTAAGTTTGATGATGATAAATGCGTCTAAATCTCTCAAACTATATCGTGAAAGTCAAGAGCAAAGCCAAATGGATTCCATGATCTTTCATACTCACTTGTCCTAGATCCAGGTACCGGCCGAAGTAATTTGAGCGGCTGAATGGATCGAAAGCAGCAAACTGGCCATCCAAGAAAAGAAAAACGATCAAGAAAGAAATGGAAGCGAGCAAAACACAATTCTACCCGATACATGACTTCGATTCCATGATCAGGATATGGGCGATCGTTCTCTTGGAGAGCATCCAGCTGCTGGAGTATCGTGTCTTCCGCCGTTAACTACACCGAAAGAAAATCCTCATAATGGATCGAAAATTCACGAAAACTTACTGCTAGAGTCGGTCCGAGGGGCTTCTTTAGCCGTGATTCACCCCTGGATAGCGATTAAGAACAAGAAGATCCTACAGGAAGCTCTAGAAGACTCACCACGTCGCGGGAAGAAAATCTGGCACATCCATTTTGGAAATCACTCGGCCAAGGCGCTGGCGCCTGGGAAATTGCTGCCGCTGCCATGGCCCCGCTGGGGGATAGATCGAAGAGCTCAAGTGATCGATGGAACCTAGAAATCTAGCGCCTATTTCCAATGCCGCCATTCAAATAAACTAGACTACGTTTCCCCTTGTAGAGGCCACGCTGGCATTAAAACTAGTGGCTGTAATGTAATGCTTTTAAAATATTTTAGGGTTCTAGCGAGCAATGGCTCCTCCACCTCCTCGCAAGGCGCAAATCTCACAGGAGGCATTCGATGCCGCGGTGCGAGAGAATGTGGAAGATTTTGAGATGGAGGAGGGTGAGGCGATCGCTGATGCGGTGCACACATTCCAGCTGCAAGGCGTCGATCTCACAGGTGCGTGTGCGCTGAGCTCTATCTTTCTCTGTTAATCGATGTTGATCTATCTTGACGATCCGGCAGGGATTATCACCGACGGACGCGGCAAAGAAGAGCATCCTGTGATCCTAGCGATCAAAGACCTGAAACTGGCCGTGGACGACAATGCTGGTATGGATCGTCTTTGCGAAGCGCTCGACAAGCTGAGGCTGGCCTCTGCCGGCGAGAACGCTTCCATTGCGGTGAGAAATGGCGCTGTTGAGAAAGCTGTGTTGGCTTGCAAGCGTTTGATTGATGAAAACAATGCTTCATACGTTTCCACAGCGATGAAGACGCTTCTCCCTCTCTTGAATGGTAAGCTGACCAAACAGAATATGTCTGGTGCTGGTTTCTAACGAGCCATTTTTTTTTTTCGTTTTTTTTTGTCTTCCAGATGAGCAGTCCAAGAAGGATTTCTTCTCCTCCGCTGGATGCGAAGTGATTCTAAGTTTTCTATCGAGACACGATGACTCCAGTGAGATTTCAATGCTCTCAGCAGCAGTGATCGCGTCATCAGCATCAGGATCCGAGATGCTTAAGGAGGAGTTTATGCATTTAAAAGCGGATGAGAAGCTGATAAAACTTCTGAGGCGCTACGTAGAGAATGCTGAAGTACTAAGCAGTGCTTGTGACGCGTTGAAAGCATTGGTGTCTCCCGACGATACTAACGTGCTAGCTTCAAACGTAAGCAGCAGTTAGATTGATTCTTCTCTCAATTTTTTTTGGTACTGTCTATTCTACAGGCCTTTAAAAACGCCAGAACAATATGGAAGGCAGGAGCTGTGAACGCTGTTTTGGAGACGGCTTCATCCAACCGAAAAGATCCTACACTGTTGGTGACACTTTGTGCGACATTGAAAGCTATGGCAGTGAATGTACGTATCATTTTTGTGAACTCTACCATTAGACTCAAGTTCTATGTATCAACAGGAAGAGATCTGTAAATCAATCACGGGGGATAATGGACTTGAGCTAACTTTGGAGTTCGTGGACGAATCTGCAAAAATGCCAAACAAGCTCTTGGCTAAGAATGCGTGCTCACTGATAACGCAGGTGAGACTACAATTTTTGTCCGGTACAGTCTAAGTCGGTTGCTGATGGATTTTTGTCCCGGGTGGCAGCTGGCATTAAGTGATGCCAACAAAGATGCCATTGTTTTGCAAGGAGGATGTCAAAAACTCGTTACGCTAGCTTCGTGCTATTCAGAAGACGTTTCAGTGATTCAAGAGGTATTTGAAAAAACTGCCTGCGTAAATTAGAAAGCTCTGACCGTGCCCTCTGGCAGGTGATGTCTGCTATTGCTTCCATAACGTTGAGATCCCCTTCAAATGCTACCAAAGCAGTCGAGGCTGGCGCGATTGACTTAGCGGTGGAGATGATGGACAAGCACCCGCAGGCCCCAGGCATGCAAAAGCAAACGTGTCACATGCTGCGAAATCTAGCGTCACGGAATCCCGAGAACAGGCAATGCATTTTTTTGTCTCCCACCTTCGTGCATGCCTCTCACTTATATTCTTTTGCTTGTCAGGGCGCTGATACTGGAAAGGGGCCTTGAGAAGCTGATAAGAGCAGCCAAATCCAGGCATGCCAGCTGCAAAGACGCATCTTCTGCTGCGTTGCGAGACCTGGGCCTGGACAATTACAATTAGAGAAAGAGGTACATGCATTACGGCAAACGCGCCGACTGATCAAAACGCTTAACGTGAGTCTGTCGTTGTTGAGTGTAGATGGGGAAAGTAGACAAACAGATTCTTAGCGTTCCACATCAACCGGTCGAGGAGAAGATGAGAAAATTCCGCCAGGAAGCATCTCCGCGGGAGGGGTGCGTCAAACACCAACAACTTGGACGGACGTATGTCAACTCGACTCCCGTGTCCAACACTTTGGCGGGGAAAAGGCGGGTGGACGGAGCTACTAGACAAAAGCCGCAACACCAAAGCAACACGAAAAGGCGGAGGAGGAGGCAAATAAGAGAGGGGAAGAGCAAGAGGATCCCAACCAAGACAAGCTAACCATGGATAGATGGATGGACCACACAAAAAGTTCGCCGCAGTGACGTGCGAAGGCCCCCCCCGACCCCAACAGGTAAATGTGTGGGACTGGGAGAACAACACAGCGACAACGAACTCGCCGCTCGCACGCACGTACACACGTACGCATCGCCTCAACTTGTCCTCCCCGGCCGGAACCAGTCAATCTAGATGGATTTGAACCAGCAACCACCGGATCGATTGAGTGATGGAGATAAACAATTGCCTCACCGCAGCAGCAATCCGTGAGTTAACGCTGGTTTAGTTTCATCTTTCCTGCTTTTAAATACGTTTTTGCGTTGCAGAGCATTCAATGGCGCTTTCTCTTTTCTCGCGGCCCGATTGCGATGTCGAGAAAGGAGCTGCCGAGCGAGAAAGCGCTCTCATCCTCACCCAGCTCGCTCAGCAAAAACGCAATCCAGGCCAGTGACCATCAACGATCGAGACGACAACACTATCAGCACCTTTACAGCGCTGCCGAGCGACCTTTACGTCTATCTCGCGCACCACAAACACACCGGCTCAAATTATGCGGACAAGAGACCACTTAAACCTCTATCCCCAACTGTGACTTCTCCGGCACCAATCTCGCGCGCAGCACGGCTCTCATCATCATAAATCAGCTCTACTTTCAATGGTAGTTGGCAGCAGCTGACAGGTCGGTCTTTCTTGCCGCAAAAAATTCTCCTATGCTTGTTTACTAATCCTTCTCTCGTTTTTCTTTTCCAGAGATTCTGTGCGCTATCTATGATCACCAACATCAACGCCACCCCACGCAATTATCGCTGCCATCCCAAAAGAGCGACTCGCTGCCCTGCCCGGACGACGCTGCTAGAACAGACTGCCAAAAGCAACAAAGACGCAGAGGAAGAGGAGTGAATCAAACGAATGCCTCATTGCTTGCTTGGCATTGCAGCACTGCTCCATCCAGGTATATTGGCTCTCTAGAAAACCACCTCTCTTTTTTCCCGGCGGCTCCTCTCCATTGATTTAATGTTCGTTTGTGTGTGCGCGGGCAGAGAGTCCGGACAGTATATAGTTCCTTTTAGCCCCGCCTTGACCAGCCTTGACCGGCCTTGACCCAGAGCTTTTGCAATTAAAGCTCTGCCAGATGCCATGCCCGCAGCCAGACAGAGCGCGCCCAGCCCCTCATTTAAGATTCCTCCATCTCATCAAAGCCCTGGCGCTGCTCTTCGTCATCATCCTCCTCGTCTCCTCCTCTTTCGCCACCACCGCCACCACCAGCGCCGCCGCCGCCGCCATTCTCCTCCCGGTCCTCCCAGTCCGGCACCGGCGTACAGTCGCACTTGTGCCGTATCTTCCAGTCCAAGGCCTGGCACGCCCTCGAGCAATAATTTACCGAGCCGCAGGCCGAGCAACGCCGGAACTCGTGCCGCCGCGACTCGGGCCGCCCACAGTTGGAGTGCGAGCACAGGCGGAGCCCCGACTCGGGCGGCTTGGCCACGAACCAATCGACCATGAACCGGTTTGCTACGTGCAGCTTGGGTGGAGGAACGTTGCAGCCAAAGTCACTGAGTAGCGAGCACCCCCCGCTCTGGAGCAGTGTGTACACCGGGTGGCACTCGATCGCCGATACTGTTGCTGCTGCTGCTGGCGTCGATGGTGGTGACGAGCAATACAATCCTCCTCCGGAGTTACTCGTAATTGGCGACAAGAGCATCGATCGTTGGTGCTGTTGGTGGTGATGCTGGTGGAGTTGGGTCCTCTCGGATTGCTGCTGCTGATGATGATGATGATGATGATCCTGGGATTGCTGGAGCAAAGGCGACGAGGAGGATGATTTGGCCAGCGCGCCTTTGCCAAGGACGGCGTAGTAATGCAGGTGGTGGTGGAGGCATGCCATGGCGCCGCCCTTGGCAGTGAGGTGGAGCGCCGCCTCCATGAAGCGGCGTGGCGACTGCGCCACCGCCGCCGCCGCCTCCCTGGTGTTGGCCTCGAGCAGCAGTCCCCTCCCCTTGACCACGTTCTGGGCGACGCCGTAGCCGTCCTGCAGGCAGTGGCCGAGCTCGCGCATTGCATCGACGTGGCCCAGCGACGCCGCCCTCGCGCACAACGCAACGCCCGCCTTGAGGTCCTTGTCCTTCCTGCTTCCCCCGCTGCCATTGAATTGGATAACCGCTAAGGAGTGGAGCGCCGCCGCGTGGGACGCCATCGCCGCCTTGGCCATGAGGGAGGCGCCGCCGCCTCTGTTATGGAGGCAGTAGAATCGAATCTGGAATAGAGAGGAAGTCACAGAGTGAGTTTCTTCGTCGTGGAACTAAAGAAAAGGCGAGGAAACATCGGATAACTGTCCATAAGGGAGGAAAAAGTAAAGACTTTGAGATCGCTGTAAGAGCGTGGAAAAGGGAAAAAAAAACGCGAGAAAACGCATCGTAACGTTATCCATCGAGCAGGGAAAAACCAAACGAAACTGGAAAGGAAATGAGTGAGCGATGGATTGTGCAGGAGCTTACCATTCCCACTGTGTAACAAGCCTCGATGTTGCCAGCGTCGGCGCACTGCTTGAGGAAGCGCGACGATCCATCAGACCAGCTCGATGCTTTCACGGCCAGCGCGGCGGTGGATGCGTTGGCCAGGACGTGGGGATTCGTGGCGGCCGCGCAGAATCTCCGGCAGCTGGAAGGGACGAAAGGAAAAAAATCAGTCCTTGATCAATAAGGGAGAGGCGAAAAAAATGGAACTTACGTGAGCATGGTGTTGACGAGATCGGCCGGCGACGACGCCGTGGAGCTCACCGCCGTGATGATCGTGATGAGCACGTCGTCGTGCAGGGAATCGAAGAAGCACGGCGCTCGAGCGGCTTTCGCTGGCCGGTCGGATGTGCCGCTCGGCAGCCGCCGCTTCTGGACGCTGGGCTTGATGCTGAAAGTGATCCCATCGGAAGGAGAGGGATAGTTCCCCCGCCGAGTCCTCATCCCCTCTCTCTCTCTCTCTCGCGCAAGATCGCTCGAAATATTTCTCTTCTTGGAAGAAAAGATCGCGAGAAGGAGCGCAGAATAGAAAGAGAGGAGGATTGGATTGCGAATTCCCGGATCTTCTAACCAATGGAAGCGCCTGGGGGATTGACCTGGGAAGAAAGAAGAAGAAAACAAGCCCCCCGGGCGACGATCTTTCCAAGGCGTCGGGCAATCCGACGCCGAATGCTTGCAAAATCTTCCTCCTGCTACCTTTGCTAACACGGCAGCATCGATCGAGATCGATCGAGAATCTGCCGCCAGGCGCGCTCTCGAGCTCTCCCTCTTCCTGTGAGCTCTCCGCCAAGCCCTAGCGCCCAGCCAGGCGGCTTTAAGGGAAGAAAACAAAGCAAGGAAAAGAAAAGGAGAGAGACGAACAAGGAATGAATATACAAAATATATGGCGCCATGGGTAGCAACCACACGCACGAGGCAGCACATTCCGTAGCAGAATGGCCCCCTCCCTCGCCCACGCACGTCCACATTCTCAAAAGAGAATGTCATCCCGATTGGGGGCACCGCGGTGACGGACGGCTGCGATCTCCCGTGGCATTACGGGGCCGGTCAAAGCCTCACGGAGCACGTGGACGGCGGGAATCTCTCACCGCCGCACGCGGCTTACCGCGGCCACCGCACGGTAGCCGCGGTAGGCTTCAAATCGCTATCTGGCGGTATTTATTTCGTTTATTTTCTTTTTGCCCCTTTCTTTGCGTATGGATCTCAAGCTCTAGACCTCGTGGTCTTGACATGAATAATGCCAACGAAATTTTTATAAGGTTTCAAACGTTTAAAGTATAGGCCGAATATTTTACTTTCCAAGGGTGGTGCACTCAATCCACCACTTGAGGGGGAAACTTGCACACAAAACCAAGAAAAACTCGCTCGAGCTTTATAACTTGAGCCCTACGCAGAGTGGCGCGTGGTTTTCTTTCAGACAATGGACACACAGAGGAAAACAATAAGAACCATCCCCGGCGGCTTCTAGAATCTCGCATGATTTCCAATCCCCTCATTTCGTCCAAGCACACTGTTAGTGTTGTGGCTTGGCGGCTTTGCTTTGGGTTTCTCCAAGGAATCACTCTCCTCTACGTAAAGAGAGAATGTGGTCAATTCAGACGGATTGAATCGTCCAAAGAGGCGGGCTGCCAAGTGACCGTATAGAAATTCTTGAGTCTCTCGATTGACTGGGTGTGATCTTTGTTCGTTGACAAGCAACATTTTTGGTCGCGTCCAATGCTTTGACACCGTGCTTTGATTTTTAGATTTTTTCCATACAAGCGGCAAAGAGAGATTGACCCAATCAAGGGATTATAATCTTTGTATCATCGAGCGCGGATTTTACTAACAACCTTGTGGAATCTTGAAACCCTAGACGTTGGAGGCAGGGGTGGCGCAATTATGGTCCATCTGGCAACCCTGGCAAGATTTAGGGACAGTTCTCCAGGCTAGGGACAGAGTCCTACACTCAACACACCCCTTCCTACGTCACGCCGCAATAATGGGCGCCCGCCGGCGGTTACCCTGCCCCGCCGGCCGGGCAACGGCGGTTACGCTGCCTGCCGGCCGAGAACCGCGGAACGGGCCGGCTGGTGCGACACGTGGCATGGCTCCCCGGGCCGGGCGGGTCAAACCTCCGTCCCGGGGGGCAATGCCCCCGTACTGCATCATTGGGCCGCCGCCGCGCCGTACGACACTGACCGTTGGGAATCTCGGGTCGAATATCCCGCCCGGTTTGAAAAGAAAGCCGGGTTTAATGGGTGGGCCGCGGGTTGGACCCCGCTCAGCGTCAAGGCCACGAAGATGTCACGTCTTTGGAATTAAAATCCTTACTAAACTCCGAGCTTTGCTTGCTCGTTCCTTTTAGATCTCTCTGCTTTTTCTTTTTCGTTCTTTGTATAGGCTACGTAGCTTTCGATATTGACTTTAGCAACAGGAAGAGCAACTCTTGACGATTTGTTTAAGTCTCGTTTGTTTGGCCTTCGTGATCTCTTCGTATTCCTTCACGAATGTGGAAATAGCTCGCTGTCGTTTTTGTTAAGGCCAGCCATATGATTTAAATCATCATCGCTATCATGGTCACTACACCCTAGGATACGAGAGCTTTTCGGAATAGCTTATAGGTGGCCTCTCCTCATGAGGCCTCGTATGTATAGTTTTTCTCGTTTATCTAGCTTTGACTTGAGATGGATCATACTACACTCCACCATATCTTTACTCGTTTCCAGCTCAGGACCTGTGTGTGCGTTGCTTCCACTTACTCACTCCACTAATGGGATCCACGAGATTGTGATCTCTTGCACTACGCAAAGGCGAAACGGACCTTGGAAAGTTTCTTAGATTCCCATTCCCTTCTGTTGAAAGTTTACAAACCAATGTGCAGAGGTTGTGTAAAAGAGAACGAACAAGAAGGAACAGAAGAATACACTCGCTACCTGCAAAATAGTGTCGTTGAGGACCCTTTTTGCTTAGCGAGGCCCAGCTGGAGCTGCCTGTGGACCAGATCGACCACCAAACCCAGCCTTTGCAGCTTTAGACTGGAGAAGTAGCTCGTCGTAGTTCTAAAAGAAAACAAAACAAAAACAAGAACACGAGTGAGCAAGCGATGGGCTCGGGTGAGTTAACTTTGGTTACCTTGGCATCCATCAGAACGTCCGGTTCTTCAATCACTTTGTCAGCCAGACCATACTCGACAGCTTCTTTGGCCTTGAAGTACTTGGGACGTTGAATATCTTTAGCAATTTCTTCTTCCGGCTTGCCCGTTCCCTTCGCCAACAAGTCAATGTAGTACTTCGTGTTGGAGTCCAATTCCTTCGCCTGGAAAACAACGAAGAAAAGAGAAAAACAAAACGACATGAGAAGGTTCTGCATGCATGTCGAGAACAAGCAACAACCTTGATGAACATGTCTATGGCCGACCCGCTCGATTGATTAACTTTGGGAGCGTAGAGCTTGGCTGCACAGAGTCAGCGGACGTCGTGTGAGGAATTCCAAACTACAAAAGTCAAATGGAAGCACTCACTGGAGGAGCTCGGCTGTACTGCACGGAAGCCTTTTTCACCCACTGAGAGAAGCATCGCTGCTTGACCGAATGCCATTCCACAGTTTACTGTGTAAACTTTGGACTTCACGTACTGCATGATCAAACATCCAGAAGAATATTAAATACCCTAGGAAAGAAGAAGAAAGCGACATGAGAATCTCACCGACATAGTATCAGCAATCGCATAAGCTTCTGTTTCGAAACCAACGCTTTCCTTCTTCTCATTCTGGATCCATAACAAAGTAAACACCAAGGACAAACAGGAAAAAAGATAGTTACCTGTGTGCCAGAGCAGTTTATATACAAGTAGATCGGTTTGCTAGGATTATCGAAGTCCAGGAAAAGCATCTCCGCGACTATTAGCTCAGTCACAGCTGGTACTATCTGAGGAAAACGAAAAAAGAAAAGAGATGAAGCTTTCACTTGAGAAAACACCACATCACAAAACTCACGGCCATTCCCAAGTAAACGATTCGGGCATCTAGAAGAAGAGATGGCAAGTCAGGCGGAGCTGATTTTGGTCGCATGAGTCCTCCACCACCACCACCACGGTACATGTTCACGCTCATGCTTAGCCTCGAAGCTCCACCTTGAAAAGAAGCAGGACTCCATACACCAGAGCCATCTCGATAGTGGGCTTTGGATGTTATTGATTCCTGGAAAAATCCACGCTCTCTATCAATTCCAGTTGCGAAAGTTATGATGCAAACAAACCTCTGTGAGTTCTTTGGATTTTTTCGTGAAAGGATTATCGTCGACGAGGAACATATCCATCTGAGCGGGAGTGAGGCCGTATAAACTTTGAGGAACGTTCTTGAAATTATCCATCACTGCAACAAAGAAAGACATGAGAACAAAAACTAGAACGAAGAAATATCACTATGAGAGATACTATGAGAGAAGAATTCAATCCATTCACGCCACTTACGTCCGTCTTGAAGATTATCTTCGTGAAATCGCTTAGGAATGTGATCCATGGACGCGCTTGCAATCGCCGGAAACCTCGACGAGCTCGCGGCGAGGCGCAATCGCGGCGGCTCGAATCTTCCAACAAACGGAGACATACCCGATGCGAGCTGCTGATTCTGCTGCCTTTGTGACGTTGCGCTTCCACAAATCCCACACCTGGAGCTCCATGGCGCTGGAACCCTCGTCGCCATAGCCATTCTCGTAGAGGGAGGAAGAACAAATATTATCTGTTGATGGGAATCGAACCGGGGAACCAAGCCATTTCAAATTTGCCCTAATCTGGGAAGCTAAGCTAGGGGATGGCGGCGGCAGTGGCATCATCTCCTTCGCCCTCGCCAGCCGAGAGGCGAGGAATTCCGGCGGCGCCGTTTGTTGAAGATGTCCAGGTTTTCTTGGAGAAGACGGCCTCCGATGCGTCGAGCGCGCTTGTTTCTCTTCAAGACAGGTAAGAGATCGAGCTACATTCTACTTCTTGGCCTCTCAGCTGGGTAGGATACTATTGTTGCCGATGGATTTTGCTGTCGATCGAGCACTTTCTTGGTTGGATTTCATTTTTTTGGCTGCATGATCTCAAAGAGCTCGAGTTTTGCATGAAACCATTTTGAAAAATAGAAACTTTGGCTCGATCCGCAGCATCTTTTGGTTTCATGATCATTTGCGATGGATTTTGGTATCGATCGAGCACTTTCTTGGTAGTATTTCATTTTTGGCTGCATGATCTCAAAGAGCTCGAGTTTTTGCATGAAATCATTTTGAAAAATAGAAACTTTGGCTCGATCCATAGCATCTTCTGGTTTCATGATCATTTGCAATTGAGTCTATGCTGAAACTATTCTTTCTTCCCTTTGGCAGACTTCAGCAATACAAAGTCGCGGAAATGAAACTGCTAGCGCAAAGAAGAGACCTTCAGGTACTTTGTAAGTGTGATCTTTGCACTGCCCGACTGTGGAAGATCGCTGGTTCCTAAAACCGCTGTTACAGGCTAAAATTCCAGACATAAAGAAATGCCTGGATATCGTCGAGGCACTGTTGAGCAAGAAGAGTTCAGGCGAGGTATAAGATGATAGTATGTTTCCTCCATCGAAAATCTAATTTTCTTCTACGTTCAGGAACCAATGACGGTGGATTTCGAGCTAGCCGAAGGGATCTACTCGCAAGCGCGTGTAGACGATGGAGACTCCGTTTGCTTGTGGCTGGGTGCCAATGTGATGCTCGAATACTCATACGACGAGGTAAAGATCTCGTTTTTCTTCTTCTTCCCTTTGATCAATGTCTTCCATTTGTGTTTCTTAGGCACTGTTGCTCTTAAAGAAGAACCTGGAGAACGCAAACTCCAGCCTTGAGGCTAT